ATGGGAGTACTTATGAACTGACTCCTAGTCTTTTTGACACATCTTCATTATTCCTTATGTTCCAACACAAGATGTTCTAGGACCATCTTGAATTTCTTCAACTCCAGTGGTAGAGCCAATTACCTCTCCAAGGAGCCATGGTTCCTTTTGTGAAGAATGGTATTGAAAAATCAATATCCAGGTGCTAAATGTGCTTATCCCTTTTGGAGTGTTGCCGCTTCTAGGCCCACTCAGCAGACACAGCTGGGGAATGTGTGTGTTGTGTATGTTCTTGTATATACATATTCATGTATACACTTACACATACAAACATGCGCATACATTTATAGCTAGATTTATTTCTATATATACTTACCTATATATTAAAAACCATGAGTTTAGCCCTGGCCAGTTTGGCTCAGCAGCTAGAGCATCAGCCTGCGGACCAGAGAGTCCAGGGTTCGGTTCCCGCTAAGGGCACATGCCTCGGTTGCAGTTTGGGGCACATGCCCCGGTTGGGGTCGTGTGGGTGGCAACCAGTTGATGTGTCTCTCTCATGTCGATGTTTCTCTCTTCCTCCCTCTCTCCCTCCCGCTCTATCTGAAGATAAATGCAAAAATGTCCTCGGGTGAGGATTAAAAAAATTTTTAATTTAATTTAAAAATTAACTTCAAAATAAATAAATAAATAAATAAAAATTTAAAAAAACCCTTGAGTTTATACTTGCTACGAATTGAATTATGTTCCCCCAAAATTCATATGTTCAAGCTTTAACTTCCAATGCGATTGCATTTGGGTTAAGAAAGTAAGCAAGGTGAAATGAGAGTGTCCATAGAGTGGAGCCCTGATCTGATAGGATTTGTGTCTTCATAAGAAGAGATACCAGTGAGCTCTCTCTTTCTCCACCATGTGAGGACACAGTGAGCATGTGGCTGTCTACCAGCCAGGAAGAGAACTCTCACCAGAAACCAAATGAGTTGGCACCTTGATCTTGGCTTCCCAGCCTCCAGAACTGCGAGAAAATAACTTTCTGTTGCTAAGCCTCCTGGTCTGCGGTATTTTGTTATGGCATCCCAAACTGACTAATACAATACTGACCTTTAATTCTAAAGTACATGAATGGTATTTTGTTTGTTTGCTTGTTAGTTTGTTTTTGGTGTTTCAATAATGCCTGCAGGACTTTGCTATTTTTGGCCTGTTCAGAAGAGGGCTAGAGTAAGTTGTTGTGTGTAATGTCCTAAGCAGAAGGGCATGTAAAAAAGACAAAAAAAAAAAAAGTTTAGAATGACCAGGATCATTTATCAAGAAAAGCAGAGCTGACTCCAACCAAAGTCACAGTGTTGCTTTTCAGCTGAGTGTGAAAGTTCCCTCTGCTCTCCCCAGAAAAGGACAGATGACAACAACAAACCCAAGGGAACAAAACTCAGCCCCACTGGGGGACCATTGGAACTGTCCAGCTAATTGAACAACTCCTGCAGGAGAGAGAGGGAAGGAGCTGAATGCTGTCTTAGCGTCTGTAGCAAGGTGTATGTTAAGTGCTAGCACCTCACTTCATCCTCACAGCAGCACTGAGAGGTGGGTATGATTATTCCCATATCATAGATGAGAAAATAGAAAGGCAGAGAATTTAAGTCATTTGCTTAAGGTTGAACAACTAGATCACTTCACTAGACTCTATTCTCCTAAAAACCAGCATCTTGCTTGGAGTTTGGGGCAAAAGGAAAAATATGAGTCCCTGTGTGTACTTACCAAAATATTCTTCATATTTTGAACCAAGTAAAAAAAGAGGATAAAAGCTCTAAAATAAGAAACATGACCATATATAAAGCTTTGTGTTGCCCAATATGTTCCCACGCTATTTTCAACCCTCATAAAGCCCCTTGGCGAGGGACTCAACAGTGACTTGCCTGGGAATGTGGGCTGATTTGAAATGACTGTTCCCATTGCAAAATGATGCAGGGTCATAAATAAACAACAGCCTGTCTTTATTTTACATGTTGATATTTTGTTCACTGTGGATGTTTTGCAATAATTTTTATTTTTAAAAATATTACATTAAAATATGGATCTTGGTTACTGAGTTTTTTGGTGCCTCTTTAAATATTATGCTCAAACCCTGGCTAGTTTGGCTCAATGGTTGAGCCTGAGGACCAGAGAGTCCCAGGTTCAGTTCCTGCTAGGGGCACGTACCACAAAAAAATAAAATGAAATAAATACTGTGCTCAAGGAGTGTTTCTCATTTGCCTCACCTTAACCTGATTCCTGGTAAAACCAAGTCTTGGCTTGAATTACTCCAGGACTGTATCCCCAGAATTGACCTTCTCTAAACAAAGCCCTACAGAGCCCTACTAGGGAATGGATCCCAGATCCCCCTCTCCTGGGCAGCCCACACAACTGTGGAAGTGCCCCATCTTCTCATCAGAAATAATGAATCATAAAGCTGCAACAGCAGAAATGGTTCCATTGTGTGGTAAGTACATGGTCACATTTTTGCAGTCACCAGATATTCTCCACCCAGCCTTTGTCACATATGACCTAGAAGCCACAGGTTCCCAATTCCTACACTGTATGCGCATCTGAGCTCATGGTGTCAGAATTCCTAGGCTCTCCAAGCACTGATATGCCAAGAGTTTGGCCTTCCTGTGGCTTAGAATAGGGTTGATGGAGTCCCTGGTTCAGAAGTCCAGCCTCCCAGTGTAAGAGTCTGCAGTCCCCTCCTTAGCCAAGCAGTTGGCTGATAGCCTTCACAGCACTACTTTCTATTGGAGGAGAACATTGCTGATTTCTTTGCTCTTTTCAGTATTTCCCCAGGGCTTCAGGAAAAGCACAGAGAAACCACTGTTCAAACCCTTCTAACTACAGCATTTGCTGATGTTGTTGTTGTGCAGGACTGAAAGAAGGAAGTAGAGACTGAAGGATGAGGAAGAACAGCTCCCAAATATCCCTTCCCCCTTACAAAAAGGGATCCACAAATCCTGGTATGCTGGCTCTTACTCTTCCCCCCTCTGAACTTTTACAGAAGAGAAATCAAATGACTATGAAGGTCAGCTCTGTAGTGAAAAAGAAGTCAGGCCCTGGCCGGTGTGACTCAGTGGTTGGAGCATCGGCCCTTGCACCAAAGGAATCATGAGTGTGATTCATGGTCAAGGGCATGCACCTGGGTTACAGGTTAGATCCCTGGCCCTGGTAGGGGCTCATGCAGGGGAGGTAATCAATCGATGTGTCTCTCTCACATAGATGTTTCTCTCTCTCTCTCTCTCTCCCCCTCCCACCCTCCTTCTACAAATCAATGGGAAAAACATCCTCGGGTGAGAATTAACAACAATAACAAAAAGTCAGGAAGGCCTAGCTGCCTTTTCCCAGGCACCCTTCCTGACCATTTTTTTTATCCTCACCCGAGGACATTTTTTTCCATTTTTTGTTCAGATAGAGTGGGAGGGAGAGAGAGAGAGAGAAACATCGATGTGAAAGGGACACATCGAGTGGTCGCCACCCGCACGACCCAACCAGGGCCGGGGACAAACTGCAACTGAGAGCGGGAACCGAACCCGGGTCTCTCTGGACCGCAGGCTGACGCTCTAACCGCTGAGCCAAACCGGCCAGGGCCTGACCATTTTTGAATCAGTGCACAAACAACCCCTCATCTTCTAAGGAAGTTAAATAAGCATTTATCAATACCCTGCATCCACTCCTGCCTCCTCCAACCCAAGTTCCAGCTCTAACCAAAGTGACCTTCTAAAAACACAAATCTGTCATAAGGATGAAAGAGCTAATATTTGTGAAGTGCTGACTAGCATTACTTTCACATAGTAAGTGCTATTAAATGTCTATGAAATAAATACATATAATGTTATTCCCCTCAGAGGATCTTCAGAAGAAATGGAAACTTCTCCACTGCCTGCCTCTGCCTTCTCCTTCCTCACCTCTCTCCCTTGCTAGCCTTACTGCAGGCCTCATTTCAAGTCTTCCTTAGTCAAGCTACCTGCTGGCCTCAACACAGGCTATTCTCTCTTCCTTAGACCCTTTTCCCAGTCCCACTCTTCATGCGACCAACTTCATATCTCAGCTTAAATGTTACTTCTGCCTTGCAGGACCTGAGAGGGGCTAGGTTCCTCCATTTTACCCTCTTATAGCCATAACGTCTATCACAATTGTAATAAAAACTAAATGTTTTAGACTTTTTAATGTCTGCCTCCCTTACTAGGCTGTAAATTTCGCCAGGAGAAGGGCTTATAGGTGTCTCCAGCTCACTGTCTAGCAAGAAACTCGGACAGGGTGGGTCCCTAGTGGACCATTGTCGAATGAATAAAACCTTTTGAATACTGTCTTATTTAGGTAACTGGTCCAAGTTTGCACAGCTGTATCAAGACATTTTGGCTTTGAAACCCACGGTCTGACCACCTCACTGACTGTCCCTTTCTCTCCCTCAAAGCTGAAGCCAGAACATAAGTGCTTTGGGAAGTGAGTATAAAGAGCGGCAGGTCTATCTGCCGAGGGCCGCGCACATCAAGGAACCGGCGCCGTGCGCACAGGCCTCTGGCCCAAGGGAGGAGGCACCCATCCCGAGTACGTTGCCAGGCCAGCTGCTGCCGCAATCCGGGGCAGGAATGCGGCCCCGCCCCGGTCCCGCGCCAGCAAAACCACGTTCTCCCCAGGGACTGACGTCAATGAAGACTGGGCACCTCCCAGCGAGACCCAACGGTGGCCGAGGGCCAAGGGAAGGGACCCGGGGGACACGCCCCACGCCGCTGCTCCGCCGCTGATTGGATCCGGAAATCTTCGCAGTCGGGTTTCGAGGCCGGCGGAGGGAAGCGGGAGGAGCCAGAACACGCCCCTCGCCCCTCTGTGGCCGCCGATTGGCCCACGGAGTCTCCGCGTTCGATTTTGGAAGGCTCGCTTTGGAGCTCACACCAAGGCTCGGCTGAGGATTGGCTGTCCTTGGGCTGGGGAGCGCTTGCTCCGCGGAGCCGCGGCTGTGACCGAGGTGGCGGGCCTCGGGCAGCAGGTACGTAGGTCCGCGGCCCGGCTTGTGCTGCGGAGGTAGCAGGAGGGCGGGGGCGGTCAGAGCCCGGGTGCCCGCGGGACCCAACCCCCAGGTCCACCTAGGGTCCCGTTGTTGTGCGAAGCGCCACGTCTGAGCCCCGGGGACCGACCTGCGCTGTGACTGTCGCTGTGTGATCTTGGCCAGGATACCCACTCCCAAGCTCTCGTCCTGTCGGTGAACGCCGCCTGGTCCTGTGAGCACCTTCACGGCAGAAGCCCAGAGCTGCGCCTGCCCTTTCGGAAGGCCGGTCAGGGGTTGGGGTAGGCGCATCCTAGCTTGCCCCATCCCAATTTGAGGTCTATCGGCGCTGCCCTTCAGCGTGGTGAGTAATCGCTCTAATTCCCCGCGGGGCCATAGAGTTCGAATGGCACAGAGGCTGGCTGGGGAGACCTGACTTTGGATCCCCGGATATTTCAAAACCCGCAGAAGCTAGTAGCAGGCTCCGCGAGGTTTCAGAGCCTCTTGGGTCCTTCCCCTGAAGACCTCCGCACTCATCTGGCGGGAACAAAAATAACTGGATGAGACCGTGGGCGCTGGGGTCAGACTACATGGATTCATATCCAAGCCTTATCGCCTACTACCTGTGTGACTTTGGGCAAGTTACTTAACCTTCGTGAACTTAGCTTTCTCATCTGTAAAATGGGTTTAGCGACAGTACCTTCTCTTAGTAGTGTTGTGCACTTGAGTTGGAGCAAGGTGCCTCAATGGCAGCGATGGTTTAAAAGTCTGCAGATGACGCCATCTCCCTTTACCCTCTTCTCCCAAGAGTGAAGGCCTCTTTTGAGGAATTTCATGATAGTGGTGATGATGAAAATGGGTAGTTAAAAAGCCTTTTTCTTTATACCATTCATTCATAAAGTAATGTACTGGGATGGACACTTTCAGCATACTTTATCTCCCTTATCCCCTTAAGGGTTATTTATTCTCACCATTTTGACAATGAGCAAACTGAGGTGGGGAAAACTGAGGCTTGCTAAGGTTACCCCATTATCAGTGGCACAGCAAGAATTCAGGATTCTTGAACTCTTGAGAAAAGTTATTCCTAGATCTAATAGTGTTTTTCCAGGTCATATCTGAGAACTGAGAATTGGTCTGGGGGAAGAGCCCAGTTCCTTTCTCCACCTATGGGACACAGATTTGGAGGCCACTGTTATGTCCAGTTCTCTCAGTCATGCCTGGCTGAGGCTAGGCCCTTTGGAATGGGGGGCCCAGGCAGCCATTTGGACTGGGCCTCCCACTTGAGGAGCCACAGATTTTGGCTGTGTCCAATGGCATGCCTGTCCAGGGAAGCAGGCCAGGGCCACAAGTGTTGATTTGGGCCTTGGGCCAGATACTCCAGTCCTTTATCTAGGAGGTCCTTGGACTCTGATTACAGATTATTACCACCAACAGGGTTATCTGAAGGGGGTGAGCCCAGTAAAGAGAGTTGCTGCCTAGTCCACACAAGTGTGTTCTCTCATGGTTACTTACACTTCCCTGAAACCACGGTGAGCATAGATAGGTGTCTAAACTGAGCGTCATACGTTACAAAGAATGCTCACTTGTGCACTATATTTATAAATTGCAAATCATTGCGTGGTGAGTCACTTTTTTTTCTCTCCTATCCTCACCCGAGGACATTTTTCCTTTTTTTTTTTTGAGTGGGAGGGAGAGAGAGGAACAGAGAGAGAGAGAGAGAAACATCAACGTGACAGGGACACATCGAGTGGCTGCCACCCGCACGATCAACCAGGGCCGGGGACAAACTGCAACCAAGGTACATGCCCTTAGCGGGAACCAAACCCGGGTCTCTCTGGACCGCAGGTCAACACTCTAACCGCTGAGCCAAACCGGCCAGGGCATGAGTCACTTTTTAAATATATTTCTTAGAGCTCTATAGTTCCTTTATTGCCTATTTCAAGAATTGAACTTTGTTACTTTCAGCATTTGGTATTTACTTGGTTCATTTTTATCCTAGTTTGTGTAAAATTGAACTATTTTGCAATTAATCTTTACTCATGCTCACAGACCCATGCTTATCGTTTTTATGTCAGCTCTGAAATGATTCATTTGTAATCTTTTAATAGCCCTGTGGTTTCATTTTCCAGTTTAAAAAGTACCATTGTTCAAGTATATACTGACTTTCCTGGATTCAGGTCTCGTCCAGGAAGTGAGGCGGGAAGTGACTATTGAACACATTGAATGAGACAGGAAAAGTTTCTTCTGATAAGTGTTCTCAGTTTTCCCCAAGTTTACAATCTAATTCTACCTGATATCCACCGATTTTTATTCTCAGCCTCTCTCTACTGTCTGAATCTCAGGGTGGGTGGCAAATCTGGAGTACCACCCCCTGCTCGGAGGTTCAGTAGAGGGTATGGTGAGGCTGAAGGCTCAGACTCTCCCAGATGGTTTTTCATTGGTGTGTTTGAAACTCACTGCAACTGGGCGGCTGGAGGTAGGGCTTTGTAGCCCTGGCAGAGGTGGCTGGGACTATCTGGGAAGTTGGGCTCTAAACCATTGGCTCCCTGAGGCAGCTGCTGCTATTTGATCCTGTTGCCATTCTCTTGAGGAGTGGGTGAGATTGCCTGAGTTGGAAAGAGGGGACATTACCCCTTCTCCCACCACCCATACTCCCCTAGGAGTCTGCCCCCGGCTTGGCCATAGCCAGCCTAGGTCACTAGAGTGTTTTAGAGCAGTGAGTTCTCTGTCTTCTACCATACCGTAATCCCACAGCCCACAGCAGCAAAACAGATTGAGAAGGGGAGCTACTAGTTGGGGAGTCTTCTGACACATAATTAGCCAGACCTGTCCACACATGTTGCTCTTAGGCCCTGGAAGGCAAGCAGACTATCTCTTCATTTAGGCCTAGCCCTGTCACGGAATCATTGACTCTCAACACTGGCACAGGCCCTCAGAGACCATCAGCATTAACCTGTTCTCACAGATGTAAGAGGGAAACAGGCCCACAGAGACATGTGAAGTCCCTGAGGCCTCTCAGCCACTGAGTGGCAATGACTCATGACAGTGCTTTGTGCCCTGGGTTGGGTTGTAGTTCCAGATTTCTTTGTGGAAGCTGTGATTTCTTCAGAGTGCCATGAGTTCAATGTTGGGGCAGCCTGTCAGCCAGGGAACAGCCCTGACATTAGCAAAAGGATTAAAATAAATTCCACATCCCACCCTGGTCTTCAATGTGGAATATTCAGTGTCCTTTCCCTGCTACTGGTGGGGATTTAGCAGAAATGATGGGAAGAAATGTGCTTTGAGCTCTTGACTGTGAAGACAGTTTAGCTGTTTAAATGCCTGGGCTGTAGTCAGACTAGGTTCTGGCCTTGGCTGAGCACCTGTACTTATATCTGTATCTCAGTTCCCACTGCTCCGCTGTGCCTGGTTCCTAGAATTGTTTTGAGGATGAAATGATATCCTGCATATTGCCTGATACACAATAAATGCTCCATAGTAAGCTTTGATTTCTTTTTATCAGCCTGAAAGTGTTACTTGGTGACTGTTGTTTTCTGGTCACACTATATTTATATCATCCAGCTCTGGGAGTTTGATTACCACACATATTAGGTTTTAACTGGATTCCCATAATAGGAGAGGCAGGTTTTAAAACTTCCATTTTCCAGATAAAAAGTGCAATTTTTAAGAAGTTAATTTATCTGAAATTCTGCAGGTTTTAGTTATTAAGCCTTTTGAAAAGAGAATGGATTCTTAGGATAGAAGGCCTAGAAACTGGGACAGTGGAGTGTAGAAATTACTGGAATCAGGAGGGTGGCTACTGAGGTGAGGAGGAGGAAAGACCAGGATAAGGGAGGGACAGTCATTATCTGGGAAGTCTGAATGGGATGGAGAGATGGCTCAAATACTCGAGAACAAAAAGCACGTGAGAGGAAGGATTATTTTTGCAAGTGGGCTAAGGATAGGAAACCAGTAATGCTTTTATTTATGATTCTGTTGTTTGCATTTTTTTTACAATGAGCATGTACATTTTAACTTTTCTCTACCCCCTTTTCAAGCTGGTTGCTGGTTGACAGCTATCTCTGTAGCTAGCTGTGGAATGAGGTCTGACTTATTAGGCCCAGGACTGAGGGGCTGGCTCAGGTTAAACTGCTTGGAAGGAAGGGTCCACATTACACCTCTGACCCAACTAAAAAAGTCAAGGAAGCCAAAGAGAGGCATTTGCATTTATTTAGCTCTTATTGGGTACCTGGTACCATACTAGACTCATTTAAGCCTTACACCAATCCTGAGAAGTGGTTTGGCTCCATTTATTTGACAGTTAAGCAAACAGGCTCAGAGAGGTTGACTAACTTGCCTAAGATCACACACAGCTAGGCAAGTGGCAGAGCTGGGATTCAAACCCAGTTCTACATAATGCCAAATTCCTTAATCTTCCTGGTCTCCAGTTTGTTTTCCAATCCCATGGCTTCCTCAGACTGTACCAGAGACAAGGATAAGAAGGTGCCTCTTATGCCTTTATTATTCAATGTGAACTATCTAGAACTAAGGGAGATGATTTAATTTTCATTTCCTGGATATGGTTGGGGGACACTGACATGAGCCTAACTTTTATTGCATTTTCTTGTGAATTTCAGCCTCTGCTCTGGTATTCTAACCCTGTAGCCTCTTCTCCTGCTCTGTTCTCTCTGTGGTCCTTTAGACTGTAGTTAGATCTGATTTGTCCATTTCATACTGTTTGCTAAATTATAGAGTGGGGCAAAAGTGGGTTTACAGCTGTGTGTACGAGAAACAGAGTTTATTCTTGTATTTTTCTTTATTAATTATTGTGTTGTTTTCCATACAAACAACTGTATAGACTTGGTTTGTCCCACCCTGTATGGACTTGGTTCATCCCCAGGGTCTTAAAGATAGGATGTGGGATGACTCTGGTCAACTTTATGGATGGAGCCCTGGCCAGTTTGGCTCAGTGGTTAGAGGGCTGGCCTGCGGTCCAGAGAGACCCGGGTTCGGTTCCCGCTAAGGGCATGTACCTCGCTTGCAGTTTGTCCCCGGCCCTGGTTGGGTCGTACGGGTGGCAGCCACTCGATGTGTCCCTTTCACATTGACGTTTCGCTCTCTCTCTGTCCCTCTCTCTCCCTCCCACTCTACCTGAACAAAAAAAAAAATGGAAAAATGTCCTCAGATAAGGATAAAAAAAATTGCATGGGTGGAAAATCAAAACAGTAGAACACTGAGCATTGTTCTTTTTTTTTTAATCATCCTCACCCGAGGACATTTTTCCATTTTTTGTTCTGATAGAGCGGGAGGGAGAGAGAGGAAGAGAGAGAGAAACATCGATGTGAAAGGGACACATTGAGTGGTCGCCACCCGCACAACCAACCAGGGCTGGGGACAAACTGCAACCGAGGTACGCGCCCCTAGCGGGAACCGAACCCGGACCGCAGGCCGATGCTCCAACCACTGAGCCAAACCGGCCAGGGCCTGAGTAGTGTTCTTAATGCTGTGTCTTCACTCAGCCCTCACAGCAACCCTGAGAAGTAGGTACTAGCACAGCTGATATTTGCAAGGAAGCAGCTGTGGCGTGGCGATCACTAGCCAGCAAGTGATGGAGGCAGCCAGAAGTGGGACTGAGACCCAGACAGCCCAACTCCACAATCTCTCTTACTTCTGTGCCGTAGAGCCTGGGCCTCAGCATCAGAAATCTGGATTGTTTCCCAGTTTTCTCATCTGTGAAGTGCGGAGGATGAGAGTATCTACCTCATAAGGCTGCTGTATTCACATTTCAACGATGTTAGGTGAATACGACTCTTACAGCAATATCTGATAACACGAGAAGTGCTCGCCACATTTCAGCCGCTGCTGCTTGTTATTAGGACCTGGGTATCCTAGGGGTCTGCCTGGACTTTAGAGCCAGACCTGGTTCTCCTGGCTCTGCACTTACACAGGGCTTTGTGACTGTGGGAGTAATTTAACCGCGGAGTCATACTCCTTCATCTGTAAAGTGGTCAACAACAGGTTTCTGTGACTCTCAACGTGTCAGACACATAAGCACTCTATAATAAAGTTTGGCTGTATTATTAACACTATTTGCCCAAGGGGCCCTGGGAAATCAGTGACTTTAAGTCAAGACTTACTGCACCTTTGGCTCCTGAAGACCAGAAATACCAAAGTTCTTAGTCAGGAACCCCAGGCTTGGGAAGGGCCTGCTGCGTTGCTGATGTCCCTCCATACTTTCCTTCCTCAGAGGACACAGGATGGGCACCCCAGCCTCCGTGGTGAGCGAGCCGCTCCCTTGGCAAGCCCCGCCTGAGGCCCGGGGTCGCAAGCAGGCCTCAGCCAATATCTTCCAGGATGCCGAGCTGCTGCAGATCCAGAGTCTGTTTCAGCGCAGTGGGGACCAGCTGGCTGAGGAACGGGCACAGATCATCTGGGAGTGTGCAGGGGACCACCGCGTGGCAGAGGCCTTGAGGAGGCTGCGCAGAAAGAGGCCTCCAAGGCAGAAACCCCTGGGCCCCTCGCTACACCACTGCAGCCGGCTCAGGTAGGTTCCTGGGACCAGAGGGCTGAGGGAGGGAGAGCACTAATGATGCCCATTCCACCATTTCCTGGCTGTGGGCCCTGGAGCTACTGACCTGGCCTTACTGTAAAGTGCCTACCACTGGGGTTGTCGTAAGGTCTACACAGTGCCTACCATGTGGTTGGCACTTAAAAGGTTGCTGTTACTATTGGAGTCATATGTGACCCTGTGAACTCCCATGCGAAGGGGTGCTAGGGTCCCATCAGTGCCACCTCATTTCATAGTGATTCTTAACCAGCTGGGAGGGACTCGTGTTTGGAACCAGGAGGAAGATCACATTTATCAAAGGTAATTTCAAAGGTCAGCCTGATGAAAATCTTGGCTGTGGAATTACAGAGAATATAACATAGGAAAGTACTGTAGAGGCATCAAATGTTAACAACTGTTGAGAAACTTTACCCTAAACTTTCCCTAGCCATTCACCTCTTTGCTTAGGTCACTGCCAGCTCAGAGAACCCCCCTGAGATCAGGCTGAACCACAGCCTAATCAACCACTACGGGCACACTCTCATATGACTGATTAATGAATGATGTCTGCCATGAGTACAAGATGAGGAAGTTAGAGAAATACTGTGTTGCACACCCTGATCTAGTCCAACTTTATAGAAATCAGAAAGCTTTGCCTCATCATGTAGCTCTCAGGGGGCAGAGAGAAGACCAGAGTCCTGGTCTCATTTTGCCCGTGTTTTAATAGTTCACATGACCACAATCTCTTTTGGCCCCATTCTATCCTTCCTATTGATGTTGGCCTGTCACACACTTGTTCCCTGCAGAATCCCAGAGCCTCGTGATCCACTGGCCGACCCACAGAGCAGTGCCACACAGATGGCTTCCAGCGATCAGTACCTGAACACTAGGAGGACAAGTGCCAGGATCCGCAGGAACTGGAGGAAGTCAGGCCCCACAAGCTACCTCCATCAGATCAGACACTGATCCAGGGAAGGGGCTGGAAACGGCGGTATCTTCCCCAGGAATCATAGGGACTTCTGCCAAAGGGCCCAGGAAGGTGAAGGAGGAAGAGAGACAAGGCAGACAGTCCCATGCGCTGTTGCTGGTCTGTTCGATTCGGAACAGAACTGGAGGCATCCACTGAGCTCTACACTGTGTGGGACCCATTCCTCACCAGGAGAAGAAACAGCAACCGTTCTTGCCTTGGCCCTTCCCCAGCTAACACTATACTTGGGCTGCATGACATTCCCCTGGGAGTCAAGTGACAGGCACTCAGACTAAGCATTTTACCACTCCTGCTACTAACCCTCCTGCTATTATGACCCATGGTCCAGCAGCCTGTCGTACGCCCCTGCCTCCGTCAGGCCACACTAGGGAACTGTGGTTTAAGTGGCAAAATAAAAACAATTGCATCAAGAACTATGTGAGTCTGTCACAAAAGGGGAGGATCCCAAAATGGATATTCTGGAGCTGGGGGGGTGAGGGGTTGGACTCATTGCAGGGAAGGCTGTGTGTTCCCAGGAAGAAAAAAGTAGGGCTGGCCTCCTTTGCTTTCTCACCACCATCCTGTAAAACCTCTGTGTCAAAGCCTCCTTTTTCAGAGGTTGTCAAATAGGGAGATGGAAGAATCTCTTCCCTGAGCCACAGGAAAGGGTTCTTGGCCCCTGGCCAGCTCTAGAAGAGGGAAGGCTACCACGGTCAGCTCTGCAGAGTGGATAGTGAACCTGCAGTCACAGTAATGGGTGCCAGCTCCTCAGGTGGCTTCATAATCCCCATGGGCCAATCATTTTGAAGTTTGTCAGTAAGCTGAACCAGTCATTCCTGAGCCTCCTGTACAGTCCAAAAATCCACAGCCTCAAAACCCTTGAGGTGAGCCTCAACAGAAGCATGCCATGTTATCATCCACATGCAGTTCCCCTCCACCCATCCTATCTGCTTGATTATCCATCACTTTAAAGGAGCCCAGGATTCAAAGTGCTCTAAGCACACGCAGAGCATGGCTGCCCTCTCATGGCCAAGAAGAGAAGCCAGTCCATTTCCTTATTCCAAACTCTTGGGGCTAGATGATTCTGGAATTCAGAATCTTTTCAGCTTTTCAGCTACAACCTTTAGAAGTAGTCAGTGCAAATACTGTATATTCCCTAGTATGGGAACATCTCATAACAAAACATTAATATTTCTGCAACAAATATTCACACTAAGGGATACAAATAGCTTCAGTGTAGTTCAGGTCAGTTTTGGTATCAAACTATGAAAAGAAATTTTGGTTTTCAGAGCACTGAGACTTTGGCATTGAGAATCCGGAATTCCCCTACCAGAGGAAAACAGACTCAGGAGCCATGTCTTAGCAACTCATGGAAACGCAGGGTTCAATGTCCTTAAAATTGCATTCTACCTTGTCTTCCTTCCATCAAAGAAAACTAGACAACAAAGGTCAGAATTGGGCTTGTTATTCATACATTTGCATTGATTTAAATACATTACATACAATTTCTACAGTGCATTAGAAGAACAATAAGAGGCAGCAGGACTCTCACAGCCCAGCCTCTACTCCCTGACATTAGGGGACAGGGCCTATGGCTGCAGAGGGCTGGGCCATTCCATGAGTGCCTGCCCTGGCACTCTGGGCCCCTGGCTCTCCCAAAGTCCACATTCAAGGCAACCTGAGTACAGGCTTCAAAGAGAACAGACAGGCCAGGAAAGGACGCCCCTCCTACTCTTTCACCTGCCAGGACTGGGACCAGCCCCCTCTTACACTGGACCATTTCCTTCTCATACAGCTGGTCTGGATGAGGGCAATGTGCAGATCTGCTTGGTTGGGGGGAGCAACCAGGCTCCTCTTTAGACTCCTCAGGCTCTCTTGACGCCCAGGTGGGGAGCTTTACCACATTTGTATAAAGATGTCTATGGAGAACAAACACACCTGGGTCCCCCTTCCGGCCTCTGGGAGCCATGCTGCTCCTGTGGTCTGAGGGCAGGCATTCTTGCAAACATGGTCCTCAAGGCCAGTGTCCAGGTCGGCTGACTGGGATTGTCGGCTGGGGCCAGCAGGGGAGATGTGCCTTCGTCCACAGGGCATGCACATCCAGTTCCGACACTCTTCCTGTCAGCTGGATGGAAGCCCAAGTCAAGCTGGCTCCTGGCAGCTAGAATGGAAGGCGCAGCCTGGCCCAGCTGACGAGAGGGCTGCACATTTCTACGCTGCCTCCTGATGGTGGGAGCTGGGCAAGCAGAGGGCACAAGCCAGTCCTCACTCCCTTTCTTTGGTTGTTTTTCAAACCTTCAAGATAGTTTCTTTCCAAAGCTGATTGACCAATCGCAGGTTCCAGAAGCTTGGTGTCCAGTAGCATAGGGCTGCTCCTGAGCCACAGATGGCACCCTCTTTACTCCCTTGTGAGGCCACTCTTTGTTTTGGTGTAGAAGGGGCTCAGACACCTGGCAAGGGGATAGCTGAGGGAAAAGACATGGAAGCAGGAAGCATACTGAGCTGGACAGGCACTGGGGAACAGTTTGAAGGCTCCTCTCCTTTGGGCCCCGCCTTTCTCAAGAAACCATGGAAAAAATGGCCTGGAACAAGAAATCAGGGAGCAAAGGGCAGCTACCAATTTTAGGAGGCAGAATACAAGTCCTGTTACCTCCACCAAGTAGCAGTAGTAGCATAAAAAGAAGTCCAAGGACCTAATATACTGTCCTCTTATGAACTGAGACCCACTCCAGAACCCAAACTGAACCCCTAAGCCAAAGAGTTGAGAAAAGAAACATCTAAAATAAACAAGAACAAATTAGAGGACTGGAACAGTTTATCACCTGTGGCTAGGGCCAAGGACCTCAAGAAGCAAGCAAGGCTGGGGTAAGTTTGCCCATAGACCAATTACAGCTCCCAGCATATACTCAGGCTACATGGATCACTTGTAGAGGCTAGGAGTCCACGTCCTCCCTTCTGCCTTTGCCCGAGTGACAGCCAAGCTGCAGGCCTGTGCTAGAGAGGCTGGGTCCCTGGCAGGGCAGAGAGCAGAGCTGATCTATAGGATCATATACAGAACTGCTAGGAGGTCTAGAGCAAAAGTATCCCTGCCATGCAAATTGTATTTGGAGGCATTTAGTCAGCTTACTGCATTGGTGGGAGGAGATGACTTGGCAAAATCTCAGAGCAAAGTTGTGGCTTCTGTCTGCCCCAGCACTTCGAGTCACCCAGCTGCCTTGGTCCATGGGAGTGAGGAACTGCGAGGCACCTGAATATCTGGGTCCATGCAAGTCTAGATCTGGATTTGAGGTTTCTGATATGAAAGAATCTGGGATTCTGCCTGGGTTTTGCTAATAATTTTTGTTATTTGTTAGTTTCTGATGCAGAATATAATGAGGAATTGCAACAGAGCAAGGTGTCAGCAAGGAAAGGGAATTTCCCAGCGTGTCCTCAGGAGATGCTGGAAGGCAGATGCTCCTTCCTGGACATCTGGACTCCTTGCATGGAGCTCCAGCCTTCCTCAGCACTCACTGCCACTCAGTTTGTGCTTTTCCCTGTGTGTGGAAAAGCCCTGAGGGGCTAGTGAGCAGAGAGGGAGGGCTCTCAAGGGCACTGCTCTCTAGCAGCTTCTCTGGCTTTTTCTGCAACCCACTCCCCAGGCGTCCTCCCTGCCCAAGTCTCAGACAATTTGCCTTTGTCTGCCTCTCAGGCTACCACCACGAAAAGAAGGGCTTCCGACTCTGAAAGCTCTGTGTGTAGGACTCGTTAGCAGACCGCTGGTGGGAACGGGCTGTCTCAACAATCACAGGTGGCATCTGGACCAGGTGCAGGGGACTCTTGCTGTCTTTCAAGGCCTGAGTCAGATTTAGGATCTGCAGTGGAAAAAAGGAGATAAATTAAGGAAAGGCCTAGACTTCCAGGTCTGCCTCTGAATGGAGACTGGCAGATAGAATGCTCTTATAAATCAATAAGAAAGAGACAACATGCTAATGGTAAACTGTACAAATAGTCTACTTACATAACTGAGTAATATGTAAAAAACAGAAACCTCTCAAGTCATTTTAAAAATAAAAATTAAAACAAAATATCTCCTATACTTTGCCCTTCCAGTTAAAAAAGATACAGAAAGACCCGGGTTCGGTTTCTGCTAAGGGCATGTACCTCGGTTGCAGTTTGTCCCTGGCCCTGGTTGGTTCGTGAGGGTGGCAACCACTCGATGTGTCCCTTTCACGTCGATGATTCACTCTCTCTTCCTCTCTCTCCCTCCCACTCTATCTGAACAAAAAAACAAAAAAATGTCCTTGGGTAAGGGTAAAAATAAAATAAAATGAAAATAAAAAAGATACAGAAGAAGATTGGGGAGAGTTCAGAGCTATGGCTGTAGGGTTGGATGGTGGGACAATCTTTCAGAAAGACTAGCGGACAATAGCGGTTTAACTGTGAACAAACCCTCTGACTCACCACTTCCATTTTTAGGACTAAGGAAACAACTGTGGACATGCACAAAACACTTGTAACCAATACAATGCAATTTATTTATAAAGTGAAAATGAGCCCTGGCCAGTACGGCTCAGGGGTTGTTAGATCATTAGCCTGCAGACTAATGAGATAAGGGTTCCATTCTGCTCAAGGGCATTTACCTCCATTGCGGGTCCAGCGAGAGGCAACCAGTCAATGGGTCTCTCACATCAATGTTTCTCTCTATCCCTCTCTCTCTCTCCCTCCCTCCCACTCTGTCTGATGATAAATGGAAAAATATCCTTGGGTGAGGATTAAAAAAAATAAAGTGAATGTGATAGGAATGCCCAAGAGTATCAGTTAATAATTTAAGGGATAAGAAACAAACAATTAAAAAAGATATTTTATTGGTATGGAAAGCTGGTCACATTATTATTAGAGTCAAAAAGAAAGGAGATAAGGAACCAACATTAAAATGTGACCATCTTTGTTTTCTAAAATTCTATCTTCCTATATACCTATCTGCAGAGGAAAAAGTCTGGAAGTTGGCAGTTATTATATGTAGGTCAAGGAATTACAGGGGATTTTTATTTGTTTACTACTGTTTATTCTTTTTTATTTATTTGTTAATCCTCACCAGAGGATATTTTTTCATTGATTTTTAGATAGAGTGGAAGGGATAGAGGGAGAGAGAGAGAGAGAGAAACATTGATGTGAGAGAGACACATCGAATGATTTCCTCCTGCTTGACCTCAACTGGGCTGGACCTGCAACCCAGGTACGTGCCCTTGACCAGCAATCGAACCCAAGACCCTTCATTCTGAGGGCCAACACTAACCACTGAGCAAAACTGACCAGGGCTGTTTATCCTTATTTAGATTTTCCTATAAAGATCATGTATATTAAAAAGCCAACATTTCAGCCTGGCCAGTGTGGCTCAGTGGGTGAGTGTCAACCCATGCACCAAGAGGTCACTGGTTCGATTCCTGGCCAGGGCACATGCCCAAGTTATGGGCCAAATCCCCAGTAGGGTCATGCAAAAGGCAGCCAATCGATGTTTCTATCTCTCTTCCTGTCCCTTCCTTTCTCTCTAAAAATCAATAAAGAACATTTTTTTAAAATTTATTTTTTATCCTCACCTGAGGACACTGCATTTATCTTCAGATAGAGCAGGAGGAGAGAGAGAGGAAGAGAGAGAGAGAGGGAAACATCGACGTGAAAGAGACACATCGAGTAGTTGCCACCTGCATGACCCCAACTGGGGCTGGGAACAAACTGCAATTGAGGCATGTGCCCTTAGCAGGAACTGAACCCACACCTCTGGTCTGCGGGCCGATGCTCTAACCGCTGAGCCAAACTGGCCAGGGCAAGAGAAAACATTTTTTGAAAATTATTTATTTATTTATTTATTTTTTATCCTCACCCGAGGACATTTTTCCATTTTTTGTTCAGACAGAGTTGGGGGTGGGGGGAGAGAGAGAAACATTGACATGAAAGGGACACATCGAGTGGTTGCCACCCACACAACCCAACCAGGGCCAGGGACAAACTGCAACCGAGGTATGTGCCCTTAGCGGGAACCGAACCTGGGTCTCTCTGGACCACAGACCGTACTCTAACTGCTGAGCCAAACCGGCCAGGGCAAAAAAACATTTTTAAATAAATAAAATAATCTCTGATTTTCCTTTGAGGAAAAATATTTTTTAAAAAAATTTTTAGATTCGCCTGGCTGGTGTGGCTCAATGGTTGAGCACTGACTCATGCACCAGGAGGTCACCAGTTCGATTCTTGGTCAGGGCACATGCCCAATCCCCAGTGGGGGGCATGCAGGAGGCAGGCAATCTATGTTCTCTCTCATCGATGTTTCTCTCTCTCTGTCTCTCTCTCTCCCTTCCTCTCTCTCTAAAATCAATAAAGAAAAAATTTTTTTAAATAAAATTAGACTTACCACCATTTCTGTTCTCTGGTAGGATAGTAAAAAAGTGAAATTTTCCTATGATAGTCCTCTTTAAACCACTAGATGTTGAAGATTTTCACATCCAGGCCACAGACACATGGAAAGGTAAGCTAGTCTGCACCCTCAAATCACACAGACACACAGCCCTCAAGCCAATACGCTTGCCTTACAAATATTGCCCATAAAGAGGCAGAGATTCACCTGGAAAAGAGGTCAGAAGTTGGGAAGTGGATCCTATCAGTAATTAATTCTTTTACTTATTTTTTTTTGGTACGTGTCAGCATCCTACACTGCTTCAAAGAGCCTTGAGCACAAGATCAGGGTAGAGAACTAAAAGGAGCTTCAAATAGAATTGGAGCGGATTGTGCAAAAGATCACCCAACTAAAGAGAGAGAGGACTTCAAACCCGCTCTGGCTGGGTCTTCCTGTGCTGCCCTTGGTTCTCTGGGTTAGGAGCACTCTTCATGAATGCTGAAGTATTTGGTATAAAATGTCAACTGCTTATAGTTTTCAAAAGATTTAGAAAAAAATATTATATAGAAATAAATTACATAGATATATGTAAATATTATTCAGATAATATGTACAGATATGAGATAAAGCAAATGTGGCGAACTAAATGTAACAATTGGTGACTTGAGAATATCACACTCTTGCCCTGGCCGGTTTGGCTCAGCGGTTAGAGCGTCCGCCTGCGGTCCAGAGAGACCCGGGTTCGGTTCCCGCTAAGGGCATGTACCTCGGTTGCAGTTTGTCCCCGGCCCTGGTTGGTCGTGCGGGTGGCAGCCACTCGATGTGTCCCTTTCATGTCGATGTTTCTCTCTCTCTCTCTCCCTCCCACTCTATCTGTACAAAAAATGGAAAAATGTCCTCGGGTGAGGATAAAAAAAAAAGAGAATATCACACTCTTTCAACTTTACTGAGGTTTGAACATTTTCAAATTAAACAGCTGAAGAGAAATTTATAGCAAGCATACAATGCTAAAGAATTATTTGAAGCCCTGGCTGGTTTGGCTCAGCGGTTAGAGCGTCGGCCTGCGGTCCGGAGAGACCCGGGTTCGGTTCCCGCTAAGGGCATGTACCTTGGTTGCAGTTTGTCCCCGGCCCTGGTCGGTTGTGCGGGTGGCAGCCACTGGATGTGTTCCTTTCACATCGATGTTTCTCTCTCTCTCTCTGTTCCTCTCTCTCCCTCCGACGCTACCTGAACAAAAAATGGAAAAATATCCTCGGGTGAGGATAAAAAATAAAAAAATAAAAAAAGAATTATTTGAAAATGTTATTTAAAGAGGTTTCCCCCCAGATCCCAAATTCTTTATCTAACTCCTGGTTAGAAGCCTTTATTTATGGTGAGTAACAACTACTACTCAAGCCCATTTCTCTGGGTGTTCTTCCGGTTTTTTTTTTTTTTTTTTTTATCCTCACCCGAGGACATTTTTGCATTTATCTGGAGATAGAGCAGGAGGGAGAGAGGGAGGAAGAGAGAGAGAGAAACTTTGATGTGAGAGAGAGACATTGACTAGTTGCCACCCACACAACCCCAACTGGGGCCCGGGACAAACTGCAACCAAGGTATGTGCCCTTAGCGGGAACCGAACCCAGGTCTCTCCGGTCCCCGGGCCGACGCTCTAACCGCTGAGCCAAACTGGCCAGGGCTGGGTGTTCCTTTTTGTTGTTGTTAATCCTCACCCAAGGATATTTTTCCATTGATTTTTAGATAGAGTGGGAAGGGAGGGAGGGCAAGAGAGAGGGGAGGGAGAGAGGGAGAGAGGGAGAGAGAGGGAGGGAGAGAGAGGAGGGAGGGAGGGAAAGGAAGGAAGGGAGGGAGGGAGGGGGAGGGAGGGAGAGGAAGGAAGGGAGGGAGAGAGGGAGAGGAAGGGAGGGAAGGAGGGAGAGAGAGAAGCATAGTGATGTGAGAGAGACACATCGATTGGTCGCCTCCTGCATGAAACTCAGATACATGCCCTTGACCAGGAATCAAACCCGAGACCCTTCAGTCTGTGGACTGACACTCTAACCACTGAGGCAAGCTGGCCAGGGCTATCTGGGGGTTCCTCACTCCTCCCTTCAGCTCAGGGCCCTTGTATAGCCCATTTTGTGATTACAATTCAAGCAGGTAAAAGGTTGTAACCTCCTTTCCCTACAATATATCAGATTGCTGTAAGGCAGAGCAGCTCATTTTGCTTCGATGTGTGATTGATAAGCAAGTATGGATGTGATTAATGTACCGGCCACCTACATGCTGGGAGGAGCCAATGCTCATGGAACTTTATGGTGTTCAAAACAGCTAACACATACCGAGTATTTCAAAATGCAGACAGTACTCCGTTTTAAACCATTTATCTCATACTAACCCTAGTAGATGCTATTAATCCCATATTACAAATGAAGACAGTTAAAGAAATTAAGTAACATGTCCAAGACCTCAAAGCTAGTAAATGGCAGAACCAGGATTTAAACCCAGGCATTCTGACCAGTTTGTGCTCTTAACAGCTAGGCCATCCCAGCTGTCTTTAAGAACATTACAACACGGTAAGTAGAATGTCAGTGTTCTACAGTTTTTAAACAATATTTCAAGCATATTCTTTACTGTGCTTTGGAAGCTCAATAATGCCCTGGGGGTTTTCTTAGCTCTTTTTGAAGGTGAAGTAAAAAAAAAAGAAATACTATGACATAACTATAACAACAAAAATTATAGCCATAGCCAATATCCAAGTGCCTACCATGTGCCAGACATTGTTTTTACTAAATACTTGATATGCATTATCTCATGTAATCCTCTTACCACCCCTGCAAAATATTGCTGTCCCATTTTATAAACAAGGAAGTAGAGGCTCTTGTCCAAAGCCAAGGAGCATGTAAGCAGTAAAGCAGTCTGACTCCAGAACCTAGCTCTTAACCACCAAGGCATATGGTCTGACTTGAGCAAGTAGAGGACAAGGGACCATTGGGTAAATGTACCAATGAACTATGAAGCAAGTAGCACAGAAGTAAGCATATTATAAGTGCATCACCAACCACCAGATACCCTGGAAGAGGTGAGAGACTAGGGAGGGCTACTTTTCCTCTCATGTGTTACTGCAGTCACAAATATGTATGACGTAAGACTACAAAGAGTGTAAAATACTATCTTTACACATTTACTCAACATGAGCATATAACCCTTCCAGAGAGATCCCAGGGCTGACACCAGGAGATGTCCCAGGCTTACCTGTCCCCGCATGACAGCAATCTGCTTATGGAACTGGCCCCTGTCGAAACCAGGATCTTTCTGCAAAGGAAGGGCAGAAGGAGATGGAACCTTCATGAATCCCTCAGAAGAACCCATTTTCTACCCAATTAGAAACTTGCCAATAAAGAAAACCTGTACAGCCCGGCTGGTGTGGCTCAGTGGTTGAGCATCGACCCATGCTCCAAGAGGTTGCAGGTTCCACTCCTGGTCAGGGCACATGCCCAGGTTTCGGGCTCAATTCCCAGTGGAGGAGCATGCAGGAGGCGGCCAATCGATGTTTCTCCCCCATTACTGTTTCTCTCTCTCTCTCCCTCTGCCTTTCTGTCTTTCTAAAAATCAATAAATAAAAAGAAAACCTACACAAGGCTTATGAGATTTAGTGAAATTAACTACCACCCCCAAGAACTCCCTGTTTCACAGTTGGGGAAACAGAGAACAAGTAAATATCTTCTCCTGAGTCTCATTATTAACTCCAAAGAACTCCAGGCTCCAGTGCTCCATCTGAAGATGAGAGCTCTGCAGAAACACTGCAGCCACATGACACATCCCATATACACCAGTGTGACTCAGCACTGCTGCCAATCTCTTTCAAACCAATCCAACTAGATCCTGCTGTCCACATGTGGGAATCTTGCTCTTCACTGACTAACAGAAGTCAGAAGGGTGTTAGCCATGCTCTCCTGGCTTGTAGTAGGACCAATTAGAAAAACCTTTAAGAATTCCTTTTCTGCCCTGGCCGGTTTGGCTCAGTGGTTAGAGCGTTGGCCTGCAGTTCAGAGAGACCCGGGTTCAGTTCCTGCTAAGGGCATGTACCTCTGTTGCAGTTTGTCCCCGGCCCTGGTTGGGTCGTGTGGGTGGCAGCCACTCAATGTGTCCCTTTCACGTCGATGTCTCTGTCTCTGTCTGTCTGTCTGTCTCTCTCTCTCTCCCTTCCTCCCTCTCCCTCTCCCTCTCCCTCCCACTCTCTCTGAACAAAAAATGGAAAAATGTCCTTGGGTGAGGATTAAAAAAAAAAAAAAAAGAATTTCTTCTTCTATATGGTTATAAGGCTGACATTTCCAGGGCTAACCTTGAAGAGTTCATATAGGTCCTCCTCCAAGTCCTTGACGAAGTTAGGGTCCGATATCTTTGGAAGAATCAGATCTTTGATCTCCTGAGAGAATGGGACTTTTGCCTGGGGCAACCAAGCCCAGTAAAATGGATCTGAAAAGAGGAAAAGTCAAAAGCAAAGCTGGTATTGAAAAAAAAAATCCCTGCCCATCTATGTCCCCCACCCTCTTCCTTGATATACAACAGAAAAGTTACAAGAGCTGTGAACCCTAAAGGTTACACAGTAAGTGAAGGAATTAGCATTCAAACCCAGATCTGCCAAATTCCAGAGCTTGTGCGCTTTCCCAGATATTATATGACCTTCCAAGATGCAAGCCTACCTAGAATCAATGACTTGCCCCTGAGACACTGAGATACTGTTCCTGAAAAAAACAAACTAGTGCTACAAAGGGGCTAGTCACCCCCTACCTGTATCTCTTCCTCTTTCTAAAAGTTTCTCAGTTATAACAGGGCAGGAGCTGGCTTCCAGGATGTCAACAAGGAAGACAGAACACTGACAACAGCTTATATTTAAACACAATAGAATAAGATAGCCCGGCTGGTGTGGCTCAGCGGTTGAGCATTGATCCATGCACCAAGAGGTCGCTGGTTCGATTCCTGGTCAAGGCACATGCCCAGGTTGTGGGCTTGATCCCTAGTCGGGGGCATGCAGGAGGTAGCCAATCAATGTTCTCTTTCATTGATGTTTCTGTCTTTCTCCCCCTCCCTCTTTCTCTAAAATTCAATAAAGAAGAAGAAAAAAAAAGACAGTCCTCAGAATGAATGAGAAAATGCAAAGCAAAGATGAGAAAACTCAACTCTATGCTTCTAATGGGAATAACATAAGGTAAAAATTATAATACCAGCTTACATTGTGGAGTTGCTGCCATGTGCCCAGCCACTGCACTAAAACACATGAGCTGCATTATTTCATTAATTCTTAGAGCAACCCTACAATAAAGGTATTATTATCTACCTTGCACAGGCAAGAAAACTGAGACTTAGCAAGAGAAGAGCCAGACCACACACCAGTCTTGAGACTTACATGCCCTCCAGGAGTCAGGATGCTTCAGGGGAAAAGCCAGCCCATTGTCAATGGCAGCCACCTTGATAACAGGCTCCTTCACCACCACCCAGTCTGAGTCCTTAAAAGCAAGAAAAGACTAAATACTTAGGGTTCCATGTGCCTCAGGCCCTTTAAAGTAGTGGCAAAGCATTGCCTCTCATCCTCCTCAGGCACCAATCCTCAGTTAACCTCTAAACTGGTTTCCAAGTTATTACCTGAATTTAGTACATTATGGTACCTCTGACTTGGCTTGTTCAAGATTCTCAGAGTCCCTTTCTCATCTTAAAAAAGGTACACCTCCCCAGGAGTTGCCACAATTGTTGGTAAGAAGGGAAATGACAATAAAAAAAAGATAACTTAAGCCATTCCTCCTAGAGAAAGGCAATGAGATTCCTGAGAGTATGAAAAAAAGAAAAATAAATCAGTATCAGTTAGTCAAAGTCCTACTATGTGGACCCTGACTCAGATGCTACTTCACAAGTGGTGATCATATTTTTCCAGTGAGATAACAGAACCATGGCAAATAAATAACAATTAGCTGCTCTTGCACAAGGGAGTCTTTTCCCCTACTTCAGTGATCCATAAAAAGAACAAGGACAAGAGCTGAATGGAGCAGGCTACCTATGACAGCCCATGTAGACTCATGACTGTCCACTTGGCTCCATGCTTCAGGTTCACAGGTACCACCACAGGAACAGGGAATGTGGGTCCAGAACACCTGCATCAGAATTCCCTGGGATACCTTATTCAAAGTATGGAATTCTGAGTTTTATCCAACATAATGGGGAAAGGCTATCTGTTATTATATCTCAAAAAAGCTAGGAGGAAAAAAACCATTACGAGAAATAAAAACCAACCTCATTCTCTCTTTCTTCATGCCTTTTCATGCCTTTTATAAAATAAGCAGGATAGAGAACTTTGATGCACTGGGGAAAGAATGGGAGAGTCAAGAAAGCTGCAAGAAGCAGCTTTCTCTAAACTGATGTTCTTTGGAATTGTGGTCTGTTGTGAAAAAAGTGTTCCATGGTCAAAAAAGTTTAGAAATCACTGGGCCAATCAAAAGACAGGTTCATTTAATGTACAACTTCTCAGACCTTTACTATGCTACTGTGCAATGTGAATCTCTAAGAAAGACATAAAGCATGTCCCAAATTTATCTGAACTTCTCTTTATTCTATTCCCATTAACATCATTTAGTAGCATATTCCTTAAAAACAAATAGAGGAGCCCAGCCAGTGTGGCTTAGTGGTTGAGTGTTGACCCATGCACCAAGCGGTCACCAGTCTGATTCCCAGTCAGGGCACATGCCCAGGTTGTGGGCCTGATCCCCAGTGGGGAGCATGCAAAAGGCAGCCAATCGATGTTCTCTCTCATCAATGTTTCTCTTTCTCTCTCCCTCTCCCTTAAAAAAAAAAATCAATGAAGAAAAAAACATTTTTTTTAGATAGAGGAAAACTCTATCAAACATTACCTATCAACTTTAAATGCATGTGCTATCCTCTAATTCTTCTGAATGCATATACTCCACCTCATCTTTTTCTAGGATATGAGTCAAGATATAGATGAACCTCTTACCCGAGAGCCAGAACTATCCATTGGATAGTCATATTTAATCAGCCAGTTGTCATTACCGCGATCTGTGAACAGAAATATAAGGTTAGCAAAAACAAACAAAAAAAACTGGGGCAACTTTCATTTTCATGGTGGACTAGGTATTTTGGACACTTGGACCAATCATTCTACTGAGAACAACTATAAAATATGGATAAACTTTAAAAAAATCTCTTGAAAGCTTTGGAAATTTTAACAAGATCATTAAGAGTTAAAGTGTCGCCCTGGCCGGTTTGGCTCAGCGGTTAGAGCGTCCGCCTGCGGTCCGGAGAGGCCCGGGTTCGGTTCCCGCTAAGGGCATGTACCTTGGTTGCAGTTTGTCCCCGGCCCTGGTTGGTCGTGCGGGTGGCAGCCACTCGATGTGTCCCTTTCACATCGATGTTTCCCTCTCTCTCTCTTCCTCTCCCTCCCACTCTGTCTGTACAAAACAATGGAAAAATGTCCTCGGATGAGGATTAAAAAAATAATAATAATAATAATAAAAAAAAAAGAGTTAAAGTGTCAAGATTTGGGAGAGAAAGGAAATCTAGAGAGAATGTCCAGCATTTGTGTGGCTTCTTTTCCCATAGGGCACCTGCTGATTTGGGAAGAGGCTAAGAGTGGGATGACTGGTTCACTTTTTTTTTCTTATTGATTTTAAAGAGAGGGAAAGTAAGAGGGAGAGAGAGAAACATCGATGAGAGAAAACATCAACTGGCTGCTTCCTGCATGCCCCACACTGGGCATGTGCCCTGACCAGAAATTGAACCAGTGACCTCTTGGTGTATGGGTCGATGCTCAACTACTGAGCCACACCAGCCAAGCGTGACTGGTTCATTATTCTGCTTATTTGTGAATGTTCAAAAGTCTCCATAATTATTATTAATGACAATAGTATTGTCTTTAAAGTTTTATATAAATGTGTTTCTATATACATACACATATATGTATATGGGTATACACATACATATATAATTAAAATATATGACTATAATAGTATAAAAGTCTGGAGATGGATAAATGGAGCTAATAGGTTCTGAGATCTTTTCACTGTCCAAGAAAATAGTAAAAGTAGCAATTAATATTAGATTTGGAAAATCAAGGATTCACATGGTAACACCAAAAGAAAAGACAAAGCATATACAACTTCTAAGCTAAAAGAAAGGGAAAATAAAATAATTATAAAATAGTTTAAAAGAAAGGAGAGGAAAAAAGGACTATACAGAGAAAGGGAGAATAAAAGAAGACAGGCAGAAAAATATAGAAAGAAAATAATAAGATGGTAGATGAAAATCCAAAAATTTCTATACAAATATTATAGATAAATTAACTAAATGCTCTAAAATTAAAATAGTGTCTCAGTGGATAAATAAAATCAACAAACTTTTAGCTATAAAGATTAAGGGAGCCCTGGCTGGTTCAGTTCAGCAGTTAGAACATCGGCCCACAGACTGAAGAGTCGCAGGTTCAATTATGGTCAAGGGCACATGCCTCAGTTGCGGTTCGGTCCCTGGCCCTGGTCAGGGTCGTGTGGGAGGCAATCAGTGTCTCTCTCACATCGATGTCTCTCTCTCTCTCTCTCAAATCAATAAAAAATATATCCTCGGGTAAGGATTTTTTTTTTTTAATCCTCATTCGAGGACATTTTTCCATTTTTTGTACAGACAGAGTGGGAGGGAGAGAGAGGAAGAGAGAGAGAGGGAAACATCAATGTGAAAGGGACACATCGAGTGGCTGCCACCCACACGACCAACCAGGGCCGGGGACAAACTGCAACCGAGGTACATGCCCTTAGCGGGAACCGAACCCGGATCTCTCCGGACCGCAGGCGGACACTCTAACCCCTGAGCCAAACTGGCCAGGGCATCGGGTAAGGATTTTTAAAAAATCCTCAACAAAATAGCTAACTGAATTTAGCAGCATAATGCAAGGATTATACTCCATGACCAATATTTATTACTGGAATGTAAGAATGGTTCAACCTATGAAAATGGATCAATGTAAACATCACATTAACAGATTGATGATCTCAATCGATACAGAAAAAGCATTAAACAAAATTCAACATCCATTCATGATAAAAACATTCAACGAAGTAGGAATGGAAGGAAACTCCCTCATATAATAAAAGTCATATATGAAAACCCATAGCAAACATCACACTCAATGGTGAAAGACGAAAAGCTTTCCCTCTAAGATTTAGAACAAGATACGGATGCTCATTTATACAACTTTCATTCAACATATTACTGGAAGAGCAGACCAATTATGCAATAAAAAGAAATAAAAAGTCATCCAAGTCAAGAGCAAGAGGTAAAATTATCTGTTTGCAGATAATATTATCATGTATGTAGTAGAAAACCTAAAGATTCCACAAAAAATTGTTAGAACTGATAAATTCAGCAAAACACCAGGAAACAAAGTCAACACACGCTAACCAGCTGCATTTCTATACACCAACAATGAACAACCCAAAAAGAAAATTAAGAAAACAACTCCATTTACAATAGTATCAAGAAGAATAAAATACTTAGGAATTAACTTAACCAAGGAGGTTAAAGACCTGTACAATAAAAACTACAAAACACTGCTGAAAGAAACTAAAGAAGACATAAATAAGTAGAAAGATAGCCCATGTTCATAGACTGGAAGACAATATTGTTTAGATATCAACAATATCTGAAGCAATCTAGGGATTGAATGCAATTTCTATCAAAACCCCAACAATTTTTTGCAGAAACAGAATAACTCATCCAAAAAATCAGATGGAATATCCAGAGACCTTGAATAGCCAAAACAATCTAGAAAAAGAATAAAGCTAGAGGACTCATACTTCCTGACTTCAAAATTTACTACAAAACAGTATGGTACTGAACACACTATAAAGACAGACATACAGCCTGGCTGGTATGGCTCAGTGGATTGAGTGTTGTCCCATGGACTGAGAGGTCCCGATTTGATTCCCAGTCAGGGCACATGCCCAGGTTGTGGGCCAAATCCCCAGTGGGGGGCATGCAGAAGGCAGCCAGTCAATGTTCTGTCTCATTGATGTTTTTCTCTCACCCTCTTCCTTCTTCTCTCTCTAAAAATCAAGGAAAAAAAATTAAAAAAAAAAAAAAGAAGTCCTACAACTCAACAACAATAAAACAAACAACATGATTTGAAGATGGGCAAAGAACCTGAATAGATACATCTCAAAAGAAGATATACAAATGGCCAAAAAACACTTGAAAATATGTTTAAAGTAACTAATCATTTGAGAAATGCAAGCCAAAACTACAATGAGATACAAACTCCACACCCATTAGGAGGCTACTACAAAACAGAAAATAACAAGTGGTGACAAGGATGTGGAAAAATTTGAACTCTTCTGCTGTTGATGGGCATGTAAAATGGTATAGCCACTGTGGAAAACAGTATGGTGATTCCTCAAAATTTAAAGATAAATTACCATATGATCCAGCAATTCTACTTCCTGGTATATAATCAAAAGAACTGAAAGCAGTGTTTCAAAGCAGTATTTGTACACCCATGTTCACAGGAGCATTATTTACAGTAGCTAAAATGTGAAGCAACTCAAGTGTTCACCGACAAAGAAGCAAAATGTGGTATATACATATAATGGACTATTACTCAGCCACGACATGAATGAACCTTAAGGATATTATACTAAATGAAATAAGCTAGTCATAAAATGACAAATACTGTAAGAATCTACTTATAGGAGGTACTTAAAGACAAAACTGTCCTGTGATAGGTATTGTTGCTACAAGAATAATGAGGGGCCCTGGCCGGTTTGGCTCAGCAGTTAGAGCGTCAACCTGCGGTCTGGAGAGACCCAGGTTCGGTTCCTGCTAAGGGCACGTACCTCGGTTGCAGTTTGTCCCCAGCCCTGGTTGGGTCGTGTGGGTGGCAACCACTCAATGTGTCCCTTTCACATTGATGTTTCTCTCTCTCCCTCCCTCCCTCCCTCCCACTCTATCTGAACAAAATATCAAAAAATGTCCTCAGGTGAGGATAAAAAAAAAAAAGAATACTGAGGGCCCTAGTCAATGTGGCTCAGTTGGTTGGGTGTCATCCTGTGCACCAAAGGGTTGCCAGTTCAATTCCTGGTCAGGGTACATGCCCGAGTTGCAGGCTCAATCCCTGGTAGGGGGCGTGCAGGAGGCAACCAATTGATGTTTTGCTCTCACATTGATGCCCCTCTCCCTTCCTCTCTCTCTCTCTCTCTCTCTCTCTCTCTCTCTCAAAAAAAAAAAAAAATCAATATTAAAAAAAGAATGACTAGAGACCAAGGATAGGATTCTTCACACTCTTCTGAGACCAGGAAAGAGGCTAAGACAAAACATAAATACTGGCTCCAGGCCTCACCACCTCTGATAACTGCCCATAAGATGTCTGGGCAATGCTTGTCTTAGAAAATTATGTTATGAGACCCTCCCCAGATGAGCATAACCCGTTTGACTTAGAAAATAACTCATCCTGATAAGGCCCTCTGATACCAAGCCCTGCCAGGCTCCAGGCCTCCCCCTGTGCCTCCAGTCTGGCACAGGGCAAAGGACCACTACAGCTGCTCACCAGTGTTGCGGATGATGTAATCCAGCACCACCAACCGTTCAAACTGCAGCAGTAATTGCCGATTAGTGTTTTCAGGGAGAGGTTCTGCTTCAAAACGCCGGAGCCAGTAGTCTGCATCTTTATAGCCTTCAACAAAGATCTGGAATGAACCAATCTGCAACCAAGAAAGAGGAAGACAGTTATTTCCCTACAGTCCAAGTTCAAAGCCCAAGAGTAAGCCAGAAACCCACTAAGGTCTTTTGGTTTTTATATCAGAAGAGGAAAACATTTTCAAGTTTACTTATTCACCTCCTTGCAAGTACAGGAGAAAAGGGTTGTGACGGTGTTTGAGAAAAGGGTTGTGATGGTGTTTGCCCATCCAAATGGTTAAGAGGAGTAGAGTGAGAAGGTTATGGTCATAGGTCCTTAACAGAAATGACGAGCCCTGGCCGGTTTGGCTCAGCGGTCAGAGCATCGGCCTATGGTCCAGAGACAGCTGGGTTCGGTTCCCGCTAAGAGTACGTACCTCAGTTGCAGTTTGTCACCGGCCCTGGTTGGGTCGTTCGGGTGGCAGCCACTCGATGTGTACCTTTCACGTCGATGTTTCTCTCTCTCTCTTCCTCTCTCTCCCTCCTGCTCTATCTGAACAAAAAACGAAAAAATGTCCTCGGGTGAGGATTAAAAAAAAAAAGATGAAGACACGAGCCTCAGGGGAGGTTATTCACATGCCCATGTGTGAGTCTCTAGGCACCTTTCTTCATTATGCGGACGGCTATGCCACTATAAATCATCACCTTTAAAAAGTCACATAAGTGTAGTCTATACCTTTGGCGGTAGCCCAATGCGGTTAAATCGCTGCCCAACTTTTGGCACTTTCTCTAGTGCAAGCCGCTTGCCCCTGGACTTCACTCGGTCAATGGCATTATAGTTGAAGGTTTCACTGGCCAAGTATACTACCTACAGTGGAAAGAGAAGAGATACCTAGGTTAGAGTCAAGTTTAGGGAACTATTCCACTATGAGAGTAACTTGATGCTCACCAATACTGTTCCTCCCTTAGGGCATACAGAAAAAATACATTTCTCAGTGTTCCTAGCAGCTAAGATAACGAGTATATGACTAGTCTGGGCCAATGGGATGTTGACAAAGTGATGTATGTACACCACTTCCAGGTCTGGCCCCTAAAATCTCCCATGATTTTTATCATATTCCCCAATCTCTGCAGCTATAAATGAAGGGCCCTAAAAAGGCAGAGCCACATCACAGAAGGACCCTAGACTCCTTGTCACTACATGGAATGACATGGGATCTAAGAGAGCTGCTTAACTGACATGCGTCTATGATGTGAGCAAGAAATAAACTCATATTATGTTAAACCACTGTGATTCAGGGGTTGTTACAGCAGCTGACATGAATTACACTAACTAATACAGCTATTTCCTGGTTGCCCAATGCCTGTTTTCTCTCCAAATAAAAATAAATTGCAATTTATTCTATACCTTTGTATTTCCTTTTGAATTTTGTATGATGTGCAATTATTCACATTCAAAAAATAAACATTAAAGTCGGTTTTAATTTTTGGTGAATTGTTATTTATATGCATATTTATACAGACTATATCTGGAATATTATACAAGAAACTAGTAGCAGCAGCTGTCTCTGAGGAAGGAAACTTGAGTGGCTGGAAGACAGGGGTGGGAGAGAAGCTAAATCACTCTTCTCTGTTTACTCTTCAGTGTCTTCTGATTTCAGCACTAGATGCATGCACTGCCTCTTCAAAAAATTCTAATGGGGCCTCAATATTACACTTGATTGTCAAATTGTGATATCACTATAATCCATAATGCATATGTATACCTATTATCACATCACATTGTCTTATGATCATCCATGTATATATCTAACATCTTTCTTAAGACTAATGAAGTTGGGGAGGAAGAGAATATTTTATTCACATTAGCATTCCAGTACCTAACAAAGTGCCTGGCACATGCTCAAAAATATTAAGTGAATGAATGAATGAGTTACAGGCTTCCTTCAGAGATAGCAACAAGTGAATTTTTGCATATAAATGCATAAAATCAAATTTATAAGAAAATTCTTTTCCTAAGCCTTGCAAAATTCATTACAAATAACTAATTATTTTACCCATAAGTGATAGAGACAGAAAGGAGCAAAATAACTCCCTCCCTCCCATCTTTAACATGCTCAACCAGTGTTAAAGGAGTACCTAAAATGTTTGTGCAAGGTATTGTAGGATGACACTCTTTGCCTTACAAATCAGGAAACTCGGGCACAAGAATAAAGGGGAAAAAGGGGCTTTCCTAGGACTATCCTATCTTACCAGTTTCCATGGTGAAACCCTGGCTCTCTCAGGCTATAAATCAACTTTGCCCACACCAGATTTGTGATCACTCTTTGTAACCGCCCCCTTTTCCTATGACTAATGAAACTATCATAATCTGAAACCTTACAGAAACAGAGAGCAGAGATAGCTACCGAGTGAGAATTAGAGCCTTACTATTTGAGGCTCCATTGCAACGTGAGCCCCATTTCCTTAGTGACAGATGCTCTGATCAGCTAGATAGAATCCTATCACAGGGTGGAGGTGGGGGCAGGAGAGGCTTTCTCTTACTACTCTCAAGCAGCTGTTTGTTAAGCTTGCAAAGTTCTGTCTCATCTCAGTCTCATAGAAAACAAGTATTTTTGCTGTTGCTGACTTTGTTTTTTGATTGATCTTCAGAAAAAGCAGGAGGAAGAGAGGGAGGAAGAGAAAGAGAGAAACATTGATGTGAGAGAGACACATTGAGTGGTTGCCACCCACATGACCCTAACTGGGGCCGGGGACAAAACACAACCAAGGTATGTGCCCCTAGCGGGAACCCATCCCAGGCCTCTTTGGTCCATGGGTCAACACTCTAACCGCTGAGCCAAACTGGCCAGGGCGTTGCTGACTTTTTGATGCAAAACTTCCTCAGGCTTCATTAAGGTTCTCTAACAGGAAAAGAGGAAGATCAGAGATGGGAAAGAAAGAGATTGTGTGTGTATGGGGGGGAGTGACATTAATGATTAGAATAAAAATACCAGAGGCTGTCCTGGCCAGTTCAGCTCAGCAGTTAGAGCATCGGTCTTCGGTCCAGAGAGACCTGGGTTCGGTTCCTGCTAAGGGCATGTACCTTGGTTGCAGTTTGTCCCCGGCCCTGGTTGGGTCGTGCGGGTGGCAGCCACTTGATGTGTCCCTTTCACGTCGATGTTTCTCTCTCTGTCTCTCTCCTGCTCTATCTGAACAAAAAATGGAAAAGTGTCCTCAGGTGAGGATAAAAAAAAAAAAAAAATACCAGAGGCTAAGATTTACAGAGTGTTTATATTGCACTACGCACTGGGCTATGTGTTTTACATAAATTATCTTGTATAATCTTAATAGCCACCCTATAAAGTAGTAACCATTTATATCTCTTTGTTTGTATGAGGACACTGAGTGTGGGGGAGGAGGGCCCTAAGGTACTTGCCCAAGGGTCACCCACTGAAAAGCTGCAAAGTGCCCTGGCCAGTTTAGCTCAGCAGTTAGAGCATAGGTCCAAAGACTGAAGGGTCAAGGGTTCGATTCCCAGTCAAGGGCACATACCTGGGTTGCGGGTTCAATCCTGGGCCCTGGTTGGGGTCGTGTGGGAGGCAGCCAATCAATGTGTCTCTCTCACGTTGCTGTTCCTCTCTCCCTTCCTCCCTTCCACTCTATCTAAAATCAGTGGAAAAGTAACCTCGGGTGAGGATTAGCAAAAAAATTTTTTAAAGCTGCAAAGCCAGAATCCAAACTTAAGCCCTCTGATTCTTAGGTACTGCACTCCAGAAGTACAGGCAAAGCAGGTAGGCACAGGGCCGAGGGTGCTCTGCTATTTACCAAGTGAAAAAAGAAAATTACAGAGTGATGAGCAAGGAGTATTTAAAAGAGTTTCTAACGTTTAGGAGAAGCCTAGTAGGATTACAGGTTAGGCAAGAGATTACAGGAGCATTAATTATTATATAAGATGCTCAGAGTGTGCTGTTTAACTATATGTACACAGACAGGACTGAAGCATGAAGGGAAGGAATGAGCTGTGCAAGGCCAGGCAGTGAATTAGATGTCAAATGGGAGTTACAAACCCGGAACTGCAATCAAACATTCTCTCCTAGCCTAGGCTGGTTTGGCTCAGCAGCTAGAGCACCAGCCTGAGGACCAAAGGGTCATGGGTACGATTCCTACATTGCCGGTTTAATCCCCAGCCCCAGTTGGGGTCATTAAGGAGGTGACTAATTGATGTGTTTCTCTCACATAGATGTTTCTCTCTCTCTCTCTCTCCCCCTCTTCCACTCTGTCTAAAAATCAATGGAAAGCCCTGGCCGGTTTGGCTCAGCGGTTGGAGCATCAGCCTGCGGTACAGAGAGACCCGGGTTCGGTTCCCGCTAAGGGCACGTACCTCGGTTGCAGTTTGTCCCCGGCCCTGGTTGGTCGTGCGGGTGGCAGCCACTCGATGTGTCCCTTCACATCGATGTTTCTCTCTCTCTCTCTTCCTCTCTCTCCCTCCCACTCTATCTGAACAAAAAATGGAAAAATGTCCTCGGGTGAGGATAAAAAAAAAAAAAAATCAATGGAAAAATATCCTTGAGTAAAGATTAACAATAACAAAAACACATTCTCTCCTAGACCTGAGGTTGGGAGATCTCTGGTATTGTTTCTCTTTCTGGTATATGTCTCTCTCTCACGTTGCTGTTCCTCTCTCCCTTCCTCCCTTCCACTCTATCTAAAATCAGTGGAAAAGTAACTCATTCATTCGATACTCATTCATTCACGGACTCAGCTGATCCTTACAGAATGCTTACTATAAGTATAGTACTTTGCGAGGGGCTGAGAATGGGAGAAGAATATTTCATGAAACAGTCCCTGACTTCTAGACTAATAAACTAGTTGGCTTATTGTTTGGAGTTTGGTGGCAAATGAGCAGACACAGTTAAACATCAACAACAAACACTTTTTCTTCTCAAATACCCTGGGAAGCCCTGCCAGTGTGGATCATTTGGTTGGAGCATTGTCCTGTACACTGGAAGGTCATGAGGTCACAGTTCGATTCCAGGTCAGGGCACATACACCTATGTTTCGGGTTTGATCCCCAGTCAGGGTGCATAAGGGAGGCAACTGATCATTGTATCTCTCTCACATTGATCTCTCTCTCTCTCTCTCTCTCTCTCTCTCTCTCTCTCTCTCCTGCTTCCTTCCTCTCTAAAATAAAATAAAATACCCTGGGAAAACAGAAAAACAGGTTTGAAGGGAAGCTCCTGTCTTCTGATCAGTCTCTCTGCCCAGACTCAGCTAACTAAGCCTGTGAAGAAAACTTCAAGCAGGGCCCGGCTGGTGTGCCTCAGTGGTTGAGCATCGACCTGTGCACAAAGAGGTTGCTGGTTTGATTCCTGGTCAGGGCACATGCCCAGGTTGTGGGCCTGATCCCCAGTGGGGGCCATGCAGGAGGCGGCCAATTGATGTTCTCTCTCATTGATGTTTCTTTTTTTTTTTAATCCTCACTCGAGGATATTTTTGCATTTATCTTCAGATAGAGCAGGAGGGAAAGGGGGAAGAAGAGAGAGAGAGAAACATCGATGTGAGAGACACACAATCGAGTGGTTGCCACCCACACGACTCCAAGCAGGGCCAGGGACAAACTGCAACCGAGGTACATGCCCTTAGTGGGAACTGAACCTGGGACTCTCTGGTCCATGGGCCAACGTTTTAACCACTGAGCCAAACCAGCCAGGGCTCATTGATGTTTCTCTCTCTCTCCCTCTCCCTTCCTTTCTCTCTAAAATCAATAAAGGAAAGAAAAGAAAGAAAGAAAGAAAGAAAGAAAGAAAGAAAGAAAGAAAGAAAGAAAGAAAGAAAGAAAGAAAGAAAAATTCAAGCAGAGGTTTTTAATCTAAAGTCATGGTTCCTACGGGGTCAATAGAAGGACTTCAACTGGTCTATGAATCATCTACTGAAATTATATGCAAAACAATAATTACAAATATGTGTACAGGAATTCTTAACCTGGTCTCAGTCAATTTCCTGATACTGTATGCAATTAATTCTGTATTTAAGCTTTTTTGGGGATGAGGGGATATGATCCAGACCCTCCACTGGAACCTCAACCAAGTCTATACCACATATAATATGTGCGCAAATCCATTCTAAGTGTGGATTTATCTCCTGGGACACCAGTTTTGTTATGTTTAGACAAGTACCCAAATTCCACAGGACAAAGATGAGTGAGGAGAAGTCCATGTTAGTTCCCTATAGGGGTTCAGGCCAGATCTTTACTCTAACCCTCAGCCCATTCTAGTCCTCCTAGCTAGACCTTACATAAGTGCTTAGCTGACATCAGCTAGTCCATTCTAGACTGCATCTAAATTCTGGAATGGCTTGGAAATCTAAGAGAATGAGCCACAAAAGTAGCTGGGTTTTTTTAACCAGCTTGAGATGATATGGGATCCAAAGATGCAGGAAGCCCAGAAACATGTATCAGAGGGTTGGTAAACATCCTGAAATTGTAGGCAAAAATGTTATGTGTATCCTTCTCAGTATACTTTCATCAAATGATCAAATCATGAATTTAAACCTAGCTCTCCACACCCCACATCCCTGCAAAAAAAGGCTGAGAACCCTAAACTCAGAGCATAAAGCGTCCTCACTGGACCTAATGATCTCACTAACGTGTAGTAGGGCTTAGGCCCAAGAAAACTCTGGCCAGGCAGTAAGGCCCCCTGGAGACAGGTCACTGACCTTTGTACGGGGTACAATGTTGAGTTCCAATTTTTGGTCCACCAGGCTGGCCCCTGCCTCAGAGAGATAGCCCTGGTTGAGGACAAGGCAATCACGGCCAAAGCAGCAGGGACAGCACAGCTTCTGCAGCCACTTGGTCCACTTAGGATTAAGGTGCCCATATGGCTCTTCATTCTTGGGTTTGAAAACACCAATGATCTTCTACACAGACAAAAGAAAAAGAGGACGTTAAAAGCAAGCTGATTAAAGTAGCTCACAGACCAGGTCAGCAGGAATATAGAAACAAATGAGAGGGCATGGACAAACAGCCTCTACTTAGAGCCAGACACTGGCTTCTCCCAAGCTTATTAGGGGAAGACACCAGCTCATGTATGCCACTAAAAGACCCACTGATACAAAAGGCTGTGGCAAAAGAAGGTGCCAAGTCTAGTATATGTGGTACAACATATTGTAACACCATCAAACCACAACTTCCAAGGTACATACATACACACTAATGCTCTGTAGCAATTATGTAAAGACTCAAAAAATTATCAACTGACGCAAAATTAGTAAAGTATTATGGAATGAGGTTAAGAAAATTTCTTCATCAATACTTGATTTCCTCTATCAGCCTTACTATCCCACCCCACTGGGTGTTAATAAAACCTTACAATAAAAAGTTTAGAAATGACAAAATAAAAAGGCAACAAAAAAGTAAAATCATAGCAATAAAACGAATCTGTTACCTGGTTAGAATGGGGTTCACTTAAGTCATTTTGATAGGCAAGAGACCAGGACATAAGAGGCCACAAAGATTAAATCCATCTTCTCTAAAAGACAGTAACTTAATCCTCAAAGGTCCTTGGAAATATGGGATGCTGCGGCAACCTAGAAACTATGGTCCTCCCTCCCGAAGATTTCTTCCCCAGGCCAGTCAGCTTTCTCAGGTTATTTTGCATATTTCTCTTTCCCTGCAGTTCCCAAACTGGTCATTTCAAAGAAAGAGAAGTAAATATGCTATCCAAGTGACTCATCTTCTTACCATAAGACTCTCCCTCTCCCATTACCCCAACTCAAGCTAGTCTGGGTCATAAGACATTTTCCTGTGGGTATCACTTCCTCAATGGCAGGTCACAGCAGACAACATACACCTATCTGCCTGCATGAAGTAAGTACTCATATTAGGAACTGGCTAGGCACATGTCTCCAGCAATATTTGGTCAACCATGAGGCCAGTTCCTTCAAGAAGCCTGGTAAGGATTTGAGAGTGCTAGAAAAATACAGAACTCTTTTCCTTCCTCCAAAATAATCAATTTATTCTTACAGATAAACTTACTTATCCACTAGAAAAAGTAAAATGCATATATTCATATCATAAGTCAGAATTACAGTCATTCAAAGTGGCTAGCAAGAGGCCGAAGTTAGCAATCTTCCTTTCTAGCTCTGCTCCCTGGAATCCTGGGCTCTGAACCACACAGCTCACCATTCAGAGGATGACTGATAAGTCCATTTAACTCTCTGGAATCTGGGCAGTGAATCACAGGACAATGTGAGGCATGCCCCAGAACCCAACAGTAAGTTTAAATGAAGCACAACGTGTAGTTCAGCAAGCTGGTCCCCAAAAGGAAGAACAAGACATTCCTACTACTAGTGAGGCTGAAAAATGCCAGGCCTGAGGCTTAAATACTTCCACTTAAAGAAAGCAGAACTTGAAAGCCAAAAGTGCAGCCAAGCATCATTTATTGACTAGCCTTTCAAATTTCTGTTTCCTTCCCCCATAAGGAGAATCAGAGCATTTCATCAACTCTAAAAGCATTAGTAACCATGGTTATCTCAGTACAAGGTGTTTGATAAATAATAATGTCTACACTGGACAAATGAGGGAATGGTAGGGTGGGAAGGATGGAGGAACCAAAGTACGTTCAGACAGAAGGGGAGACAAGTGCCTTTCAGGACTAAGTATAGGCCTCAGTCTAATTCAATTCTGTTAACATCTGCTCAGTGCCTAGTTTGTGTGAGCACTCTGCAGGTTTCCTAGATATATATATAAAACTACCCTGGCCTAATTTCCAAAGCTAATGGTCACTTCACATAATCAGGTGTGTTACTGAATACTCAAGTATACTTTCCTACCCTGGCTGGTTTGGCTCAGGGGTTAGAGCATAGGCCTGTGGTCCAGAGAGACCACATGCAGGGAGGCGGCCAATCAATGTTCTCTCTCATCGATGTTTCTATCTCTCTCTCCCTCCCTCTCTCCCTTTCTCTCTCTCTCTGATATCAATAAAGAAAAAAAATCAAACGCTTAAAACTTATTAAGGATCCTTAAAAGCTTTTGTTTATATGAGTAAAACCTATTATTTGCAGTAGTAGAAATTAAGACTGAAATGTTAAAACTATTTATGAATTCATTTAATAAAAATAAACCCACTATATTAACATGAGTGACATGTTTTATAAAAAATAACTGTATTTTTAAAAACAATTTTTAGTGATAAGATGGCAATGTTTTATATTTTTGCCGATCTCTCTAATATTTGGCTTATTAAAAAAACAACTGGATTCTCACATCTTCCTTAATATTAAATGTTTCAATATCATATGTCATGTAGTCTCTGGAAAACTCCCCACTGTACACTCATGGGGGAATTAGAGTGAAAAAGGCAAAGTCTTAAAATTATTGTGAAAATAGTTTTGACCTGTGGTCCCCAAAAGGGACTCCCAGGGGTCCTTGATCACACTGTAAGAACTTCTGTATTTTGTATTAGAGTTTGGAAAGAAACAGCACTCCCCAGCTTAACTATTTAGGTAGAGAAGCTTTAGTTACATGTTAACTGTTACAAAAGAGAGGGAGGGGTTACTTCAAATACACGAGACCCTGAAAGATGGGATCCAAATAGAATATAGTGAAGAGATTTAGCCTGTATTTATTTTCTAATCCATTGCCTTCGACCCCACCTACCTCATCCATCAGAACTTGTGGTCTGGGACAGCTCCCTATTAACAGATGGTAGGTGATACTTACAATCTCAAGCACTACATTTATATTTCATAATCAAATTTGACTGCTTCTTAGCATTTTATTTAGTAAAGGAAGAAAAAAAAAACAGATTCTATCTGAGACCTTTATTCTTTATTTGGCTTTCAGTGTGGTTCTCAACCAAATGTAAGGACATCAGAATTTCTTGAAGATGTACATTCAATAGTATAACATACGTTTTTATATTTGAAAAATAGAAAAAAAATACTATACTGATATCATGACAAACTCTTGGTGGATAAAGTATTTTATTATTATTATTATTTTTTAATCCTCACCTGAGGATATTTTTCTATTTATCTTCAGACACAGTGGGAGGGAGAGAGAGGGAGAGAGAGAAACATCGACGTGAGAGGGATACATCAACTGGTTGCCTCCCGTAACCAAGGTGTGTGACCTTGGCTGGAATTGAACCCATGGCTCATTAGTCCACGGGCTGATGCTCTAACCAGCCAGGGCAGAACAAGTAGTTTTTAAAGGTTGAAAATTATGATATAAGGCCAAATTCCTAGAACATGTGAAATTTTGAAGCAAATACCAGTTAGGATTATCTATCTAGTGAATTCTAAATGGTCATGAAAGCATCTTTTCAAAATGATATGACTTTTACCTTACTCGATGCTAATATATCCAAGAAAGCCTAATCCAGAGGTCAATGGGCATATAATTTAAAAACAAAACACTCTGACTAAGCAGAAATCATGCCAGGGGCTTTAGGTGTGATATCTCATTTAATCTGCTCAAAAAACTAGAGAATCACATGCTATTCTATGATTCTTTGCAACATGAACATCTAGTATTACTAGCCTCACAAAACAGAAAATGCTCAAAAAATACTTTTGTAGGTGAATGAGTATGAGACCTGAAGTGCAAGGATGTAAGTGAGGAGGGTAATAGGAGTACTCTCTACCATGACTTCTGATCTAGCATTTTCCATCTTACTGTTCCAGGTCCCAACTTGCTCACCCTGAGGGAGAAACCATCCCAAGTTGAGAAACAGAGTCAGGGCTCTTATCTTCAAAAAAGCTTTTGGCCTGTCTAGCTCCAAATATAACTCACATAAACTACTGTTCCCCCAATCTCTGTTCCCCCTTTTTCCTTGGACACAGGACTTTTAGCTAGGCAAAATAGACTATAGTACCCAGACACTACTGCAGCTAAGTCCTGGACAATGGGATATAACAAGAACAGTCTGAGGCAACTTCTAGGAAATGCCTTAAAGGGAATGGGCATATACTCCCTCTCATTTTTCTTCTTCCAGCTGTCTGAAAAGCAGGTAAGATGTTTGCAGTCTGAGTAGCCATCTTGGATCATGAAGTGAAAGTCACATGCTAAGGATGGCTGATCAGATGGATGGAAGGAATGTGCATCCCTAATAAGGTGAAATGCCATGCCAGCCCTGAGTGGCCTATAGACTTCTTTTATGAGAGTTAAATGTACTTTAATTTGAGTCATTATTATTTAAAATTTTCTGCCACACAGTCAAATTTAATCCTGGCCAAAATGGTAGCTGAAAAATCAGAAATTCAGATGACTAACTCTGAGGCAGCAGAGCGTGGTGTTTAGGAGCATGAACTGCAGCCAGTCACCTGGGTCTGTATCCTGCCTCCCACTTACTAGCTAGCTATGAAACCTGGCCAATTACTTATACTGTGTGCCTTGGTATCATCATCTGTGTGTAAAAGAATAGTACCTACCTCTAAGGGTGTTATGAGAACAAAGTGAGTTGTTACTTGTAAATCATTCAAAACAGTACCTGGCATATAATAAGTGCTATCTAAGTACCTGTCAAGTAAAATAAATACATTTGGAATAGGGCAAAAGATGACAAGATCAACTACATTGAGTCTGTGAGCCAGTCTGATATACCACAGGATTTAGGAAGTGGTCCTCTGCCCTCAACCACATTCTCCTCAGTGGGAGAAGGATGGTTACATTAATAACTTTTGTCAGGACATATGTGTTTCAACATCCTCTCTAAGAAAGGACAGTGCGCAGAAAATTATAGAGACTGGGATCCTGCAAATCACCAAGAAACACACCCATAGTCTGTCATTCTCTGTGGCCTATATACTGAGGTAGAAGTACTTTACCTGCCAGGTAGAATTAAGAGATCACATTACTCCCACCTGTCAAAGCACCTGATCATTTCTCAGCTGATCTGACATACTTCCAACAGAGCTGTAACAGTGTGATGACAGAAATACAAAAACCTCCCTCTGGCTCCTGTACCTAGCAAAGATAATCAGTCCAACAAGCTAAAATAAAAACCACTCATATCTTAGGTGTCATTCTAGTTCACCAATAAAAAAGATGAAAGCATCTTGTCAACATTTAGACCTCAGAACACCTAGCTTTCTTTTCTTCTAGAAGTGATGGTTTACCTTTGAGCTTTCCATTTAACTCACTGCTCCCTTATTTGAGGGACTTGGAAAGACCTGTTACTCTCAAAGCTTTCCCCAATTTATGTTAACTAAGTTGATAGCAGACTTGTTCTCTGGTTCTTTTTGTTATTGTTGTTAATCCTCACCCAAGGATATTTTTCCATTGATCTTTAGATAGATAGAGTGGACAGGGGAGAGGGCGAGGGGGCGGGGCAAGAGGAACAGCCACTGAGACACATGGATTGGTTGCCTTCTGCGTGACCCCAACCCCAACCCCGACCCTGACTGGGGACGAGGATCAAACCTGCAACCCAGGTACTGCCCTTGACCAGGAATCAAACCCAAGACCCTTCAATCCTTAGCTGACTCTCTAACCACTGAGCTAAACCGGCCAGGACTCTGGTTCTTGATAATTCAGGGATGACAACATCTGGGAGAATAACTAGATCATTCAGTGAACCTAACCAAGAGCTACAAGTCACAGCCCATCTTGGCCACCCAGCACTCCTATCAAAATGGCACATCACCCATTTATAAGAGTTCACACAGGAGAGATGCAGGGAAAATTTGAGGGAGCCTTAACACCCATCATTCCAATAACTGTAACAATAACACATATTTTTCCAATAAACCATTATGGCCCATCTGAGAATTCTGGCAGACAAGATTTGATATTTTTTGACCCATGATATTCCAGTGACACTTCTACAGTTCTCAAAAGAATAAAGGTAGGTACTTTGAAAGATCACCAGACATTCAAACTGCAAACCAGGAAAGTCTATCCGATTACCACTGCCTGCCCTCACTCCAGCTACTTTAAGCTGGACATCTAGAAATCTCGGCTGGCTGCCTTCAGAACTCAGAAACTGGGATTACAGTCTATTTCAATCATTAACCTGTGTTTGTCTTTTGTTTCCATAGAACTGCCTTTTATTAAATGACCGTTTGTATAATTAAAGGCCTAGTTTTGCGAGTCCACCTGTATCACTGCCTCCTGAAATGAGACAACTATTTTATTAAACTGACATATTCTCAAGTCTAAGAGACTGATTCAAGAAGATAGCACAATCTACCAACCTAACTTCTTGAGCTGGACTTCATGGGGAAGTTTCAAAGGCAGGACTAAAAGATAGCAGATTATGCTACCCCAAAATGTGCCACTTTCCCATATGTATTGAGCTGAAGGCAATCAAGACCGAGCAGACTCAGGAAAAACTTTTACCTCTCCCTTAACTGCCCTAAAGAACTTAGATAGGGGGCCTAGCCTAGAAGGAGAGCTATTACCAGAGAGGGCTTTTTTTTTTATCCTCACCTGAGGACACCCTTCCATTTTTGGTTCAGATAGAGTGGGAGGAAGAGAGAGAGAGAGAAACATTGACGTGAAAGGGACACATCCAGCGGTTGCCACTCGCATGACCCAACCAGGGCCGGGGCAAACTGCAACTGAGGTATGTGCCCTTAGCAGGAACCGAACCCATGTCTCTCTGGACTGCAGGTCAACGCTCTAACCGCTGAGCCAAACCAGCCAGGGCCAGAGAGGGCTTTTTTTTTTTTTTAATCTGAAAGACTTACCTACATGGCAGGTAAAACATCTGTTTACCAAACACCTGCTCTTCTTAACTTCCTGGTGAATTGCCCTCCTCCCCTTTGATGGCCATATCCCTTAGCTAAGGATGGCATATAAACCTTAATTGCCTGCCTGCCTTTGGCTCTCATATGTTTAGGGGCTCCAGTAACCTAGAAAATCAAATGTTTTTCTTATATTAAAGAAAAAAAAAGGGGGCCCTGGCCGGTTTGGCTCAGCAGTTTGAGCGGACCAGAGTCTTGGGTTCGATTCTGGTCAAGGGTATGTATTTCAATTGCAGTTCAGTCCCCAGCCCTGGCAGGGGTCGTGTGGGAAGCGACCAATTGATGTGCCCTGCCTTGATCAATCAATGCCCCATCCCATTCCCACCCCATTTATACAAATGCAAGGGACAAAATAAAGGTCAGCAAACACACTGTCTTAGCTGAAAAGCAAACTATGATAGTCCTGGGAGAGAAATGAAAGTAAAAAGGCAGCTGACAGTCCCATGATTCTAAAACTCCATACTAATATTGAGGAACCATAAAAAAGAAAAACTGAACAATTTCCCAAAAGAGTGAGCAATAATCAAGATGAAAACTGGTGATTCCACCCACTCTACCACCACTGCCTGCCAGTAAGACCTGGGTAGGTGTCAGGAGTCATCCCCACAGCACAGAAAGCTGGAACTGAACCCTCAACAGTCCCTAATGGGTTACACATCCTCCTCAATTAACATCAACAACACTGGTTTGGTCCAAAAAGAGAGAAACACGGGCCCAAACCTCAAATCTGTGTATCTGTAGAGTAATGGCGGAACAGTAGTCTCTGTAGTTTAGGGAACCTACTAGAAAGCAGCATCTCCGCGCGCGTCTCTGTCCAGAAGCAGCAGATTGCCCCACCACACCGCTGGGTCCCTCGCCTGTATCTGGCCAATTTCCTCTTTTCATTTTTTGCTCACTCCTCCCCCACTAAATAGGTTTTGATTTATTTCTTCATTTCGCAGAGCTGCTCCATCTCCAGTCCTCCGTGGCATTACAAAATCCTGCCAAGGGGCTCCGCACTGTAAAGTTTCTCCCTTCTGCAGCCTTTCTTTCAGCTCCCCTCCCCCCTCTCCCTGAGGCTGTGTGAAGCCCCAAACTCCCCTGGACAGGCCCACCGTTCCCGCAGCTGATGGCCTCGGTCCCCACCCCGCTCTCACCCCTTGAGGGTCCTTGACGAAGTAGCTTCCGCTGGAGCCTTGGTAGATGCGCTCCGGGAAGATGTTGAGCTCGATGGCCTTCTCGGCCCGTCTCACCACCGCCTCGAACTCCGGGTCCTCCGGGAACTCGTTCTGATCGCGCTGCGGGAAGTGCGAAGATGTCACGGCCAGGGCTTGGGTCTGAGACGCCACGGTCTGGGTTTGACCCTGGGCCGCCCGGGCCCGATCCAGCAGTGGCTGCCGCTCCCGGTCCTGGCCTGGCGAGGCTGGTGGGGTGGGAGGCGGGCCGGCCGCCGCCGCCGCCGCCACTCGAAGGGCGCCCCCCGGCACCTGAGGAAAGTGAACACCCACGCCGAATGGAGAAGTGTAGTCCGGGGGATGGGCCCGCTCGGGGGACACTAGTGGGCTAGTCTCGTCCATCCCTTAGGCCACCGGCTCCGGGACCCGGCGCGTCCCACACAGCTGAACTCCCGGCCGGGACCAATCCGCAACACCTCCAAGCCCTGCCTGGCCAACCAGGTCGTAGTGCCTCTTTGGCCCCGCCCCCTACCTTCCCTGTTTACTTGGCGACGAGTAGGCACGACCCCTCGCGCGGAATGGTAGCCAATCAGAATCAGCACCTACGCAATCGCGCTCCGCATTTTTAGCTCGTCACCTTCTGTGAGGACTGCGCATGTTCCAGGAGCCAAACGGGTCAGACACGCCCTCTGCTCTTAGCTTTCAATTGTTGGCTCATCTTTGGGAGTTTCTAATAAAGTGGCCTACCTAATCAGTCAGTGATTATTGAGTGCTTACTTTAAGAACCGACTTTAAGACTGGAGAATTGTAATCTTTGTATCTACATTCATTCAATCACGCACTCAGTCATTAAATATTTATTGAGCGCCTACTATGTTCTAGGTGGTGGAGAGACAACAGTTAAGCAAAGAAACAAACCCCCCTACCCTACAGAAATAAAAAAGTTTCTCAAGCCCACTGGTGTGGCTCAGTGGTTGAGCATCGACCCAGTGACTGAGAGATCCCGGTTCGATTCTCGGTCAGGGTACATGGCTGGGTTGTGAGCTAGATCCCCAGTTGAGGGTGTGCAGAGGCAGCTGATGGTTCTCTCTCACAAAGATGTTTCTATCTCTCCCTCTCCCTTCCTCTCTATCTAAAAATCAATAAAAATATATTTTTAAAATTTTTTTTTCTCAAAATCCTGGCCCTCATGCAGCTTACACAGTGCCTTACACAAAGTTCAGTGTTTATTTATTGAGAAAAGTTATGGTCCTGATTGGGGGAAAGGCACATAATAAGAATAGAGCCACAGTTGTTTAATAATTACTCACCTTACTAACTCTAGTAAGAGGTTTTCTTACAGACCCTGGGAAACTGGAGAGAGAAACAAGGCTGTAAAAAGATAAGATGCCTTGATAGGTCCAGAAAAGAAACACATTTTGAGAACAGACCAAGTAGAGGACACTCTTTGATTTGGTTGCTGTGCCAGGACCCTAACCCACCCTACTCTGGGAATTTGCCTCAGGAATGCTGAACATTCTCTGGCCCCAAAAACAGGCTGAGCTGTTTGTAACATCACTGAAAATTAGCCACGTTGTTAGTGAACTTTGAGCTCCTTGAAGGCGGAACTGCAGACCGTATCTTCCCTTTTCCCCCTTACACTTGAAGTTCAAAGCTGCACGTAGTTATCTTATCCCTTACTCATATATAATCAGCCAACTGGCAACAGGAGGTCAGAACATAATTTTGAGAATGACCCACTGGCCCCGGCCATTTTGGCTCAGCAGTTGGAGCGTTGGCCTGCGGACCAGAGAGTCCTGGGTTTGGTTCCTGCTAGGGGCACGTACCAAAAAAAAAAGAAGAGAATGACCCACTGTTCTCCCCATACTGCTGGTATTATTGGAATAAACGCTCATATGATTAACCCTGTCATTGCTTAATTTGGCTCATGCAGTGACAGTGAGGCCTCGGACCCATTGTGTCCAATATCAGTCCCATTAGACTAAAAATGTTTGAAGTAAAAAGTCCACAGCCCTGGCCGGTTTGGCTCAGCGGTTAGAGCATCAGCCTGGGGTCCAGAGAGACCCTGGTTCGGTTCCTGCTAAGGGCACATACCTCAGTTGCAGTTTGTCCCTGGGTCGTGCGGGTGGCAACCACTCGATGTGTCCCTTTCATGTCAATGTTTCTCTCTCTCTCTCCCTCTCTCTCTCCCTCCCACTCTATCTGAACAAAAGATGGGAAAGTGTCCTCAGGTGAGGATAAAAACAAAAATATGAAGTAAAAGTTCACAAGTGTTTTATTTATCACAGTAAAACCTTAGTGTCTAGACACAGTAAGTGCTCAGTACATTTTCATTAGTGGAAAAAGAATGATATAGCCCTTGCCCTCAAGCTGAGGACATACAACTCTCTGAGGCAGTCGGAGAAACAGTCAACAATCAGAGCTGAAAACTCCATAATAGAAGTTCGGTGACTTAGGGGTAGGCTGGAGAGTCAACAAAGGCCTTAAGTGGGGCAGGTGCTATGAGCTAAGTCAGAATATAATTAAACCAATGGGGTAGGCAGGGAATGGGGGTGGGAATCAGAGTTTGGAGTCTGAACCCTGACTTCATACTTATTAGTTATTTTCTACACGTTGTTTAACTCTTTAAGGTTCAGTTTCATAATCTATAAAATGGGAATAATCATCTCTTCCTCAGTTGATTAAATGAAAATCATCTCTTACTCAATTGAGTAAGTATGTAAAGAACTTAGCATAGGGCTTAGTAGCTAACAATGGTAGATTTTCAACAAATGGTAGATTTTCACCACTGCTGAGATTATTATTGATGTTGTTTTTGTTTTCGTGCTTCAAGTAACCAGCAGAGAGAGGTGTGGATTTTCACAAAAGGTGACTAGCTATATAGTAACCAATATTTCATAATCATTCTGAAGAAAAAAGTGGAGAAATAAAATGGAGTCACTATAGTCAAACTGCTAAATTACTAGGATCAAGTCAGTTGAGATGAGAAAACAATTCTATTCTTTTTTTTTTATCCTCACCCAAGGACATTTTTTTGCATTTATCTTCAGATAGAGTGGGAGGGAGAGAGGCAGGAAGAGAGAAACATCGATGTGAGAGAGACAGATTGAGTGGCTGCCACCCGTATGACCCCAACCAGGGGCGAGGACAAACTGCAACCGAGGTACGTGCCCTTAGTGGGAACCGAACCCAGGACTCTCTGGTCCACAGGCCGACACTCTAACTGATGAGCCAAACAGGCCAGGGCAACAATTCTGTTCTTGTTTGTTTTTGTTTTTTATCCTCACCCAAGGACATTTTTGCATTTATCTTCAGACAGAGCGGAAGGGAGAGAAGGAGGAAGAGTGAGTGAGACACACATTGAGTGGTTGCCACCCACACAACTCCAACTGTGGCCAAACTACAACCGAGATACATGCCCCTAGCAGGAACTGAACCTGGGCCTCTCTGGTCCGCGGGCCGACGCTCTAACCACTGAGTCAAACTGGCCAGGGCTCTTGAGTTTTCTGTGTTTTTTTTTTGTTGTTGTTGTTTTAAATATTTTTTCTTTATTGATTTTAGAGAGAGAGGAAGAAAGAGGGGGGAGAGAGAGAGAAAAACATGGATGAGAGAGAACACCGATTGGCTGCCTCCTGCATGCCCCCCATTGGGGATTTGGCTCACAATCTGGGCATGTGCCTTGACCAGGAATCTAACTGGCAACCTCTTGGTGCATGGATCGATGCTCAATCACTGAACCACACTGGCTGGGCTCTATTCTTGTTTTAATAAGCCTGGAAACTTTAACTTTTGAACTTTCCAGTCCTACATCAATGCCTGGATATACTCCAGTCCATTGTGTGTCAATATCTAAACATACACCAGACCTCATATAATGCCTGAAGGACTCACAGACTACTGACATAGACCTATATTTATTATCCAGACCATGGATGTGACCAGCTACCTCCTGGTCCCCATCTTCCAGACCACCGGGCATCTATCCAGATCTCCTGACATCTGACTAATAACTACCCTGAGCCAATCTTAGGGCTAAGAACACAGAACCAATTATTCTGAAGAATGCACTTTTCACTATAAGAACTCTTAACTTTTCTTTCTTCTTTGGAACACTTCTGGGGTTTTGCCTGGTTGTGTTTTTGGTTTGCAAACCCTGAGATCCTTGAATAAATCTTTGTTGTTTATTTTAGCCACAGCCTCCAGACTCTTTTTAAGTTCCTTTGACAATTCTTTTTTGAATCAAATTATTGCCACAGCTAACTAGATGCACTGAATTGTTTATTTAGATGTAAGGGAAGTCTTAAACTTTTATTTTGCCAAATAAACCATTCTAGCAAATGTCCATATAGATGGTTCAATTAAGCCTTTCAGTTACAAGACATGTGTTTCCCTTTTCTACCCAATCATCAAATAATTAATACTTGCCTCTTATGTCCTGGGGGCCACAGTCAGAGATAATCTCCCGTGTTATTCATCTTATTTAGCTCTTAAGCTTCAAATTATGGTCAAGGAAAGCTCCAAGATTTAAAGTTCTCCCTTGAATTCTGAGTTTTCTTTATGAAAGACCCTCAGAATTTGCTTCTGTATCTACCTCTTAGAACCTGACTGTCCTTTTACTGAAAAATGTCAATACGTTTCCTATTACATATGAAGAGTTAGCACTTACCAAATGGTAAGCAAGTACCAGACATTATTTTAAGTGCATTACATGGATTAAGTCATGTAACCAGCATTACAGCCCCTATGATGTTGGAAGCTAAGTAAAGTAACTTGCCTATGGTCATGAAGCTGGTAAGTGGCAGAGCTGGATCTTAATCCAGGCTGACTAGCTTGATGCTTTTAACACTACATTGCTTCTTATCAAATACCTCTATGAAATGTTTCTTATATTTACCCTCTTTCTTTCCATCTTCTGTAATTAAAACTACCTCATTACCACACAGTTTAGCATGTTTAACATTAAGTGTTAGAGCTGGATTGAATCTTTTAGGTCTGCTAGTCCAATTTCATTTTACAGGTTAGACAGTTTAATAACATGCTTGAAACCACACAGTTGGTGGCAGAGATGGTATTTGAACACAGACTTCAAGTCTTTTAAAACAATTTAAAATTACCGTTTATTGAGCACTTACAATGTCTTAGACAAAGTACTGAGCTTCTGACATTGTATTCTCAAAAATGTCCTGGGCAGCTTCATCATTATTATAATTTTCTATCTTACAGATGAGGAAAAATCCCATTTCAGAGAGGCAACTGGTTCCTGAGTTTGCCTTCTCTCTGTCCGATGGCTGGGGGACTGGCGCCAGGCAAAGGGCTCGACCATTGTCTCCTTGGTCAGCCTTGTCTCCCACCCTGAACGGCCTGCCTCGAGCCTATAGATTAACTCCCATCTTGCTCTTATCGATTCACATTCCAGAGGCTCCAT